AATTCTAAAATATAAGCTACATGAGAACATGACAGATAGAAAATACAAGAATACAAATGACAGTGCAGTGTATTATATGAAAAGTTATTTCATTTAATAAAAGGCATCAATCAAAAGTCTTTCAGTCTTGATTTAATAGTGTTGAATAATTTCTAGTAATATTTCCAGATATATAGAGCATAATAACTCGACGTTCCATGTTTAGTTTTGACTAAGAAAAGTAAATTGATATGAATACAAATTATATGAATGAAATTAATAGGAAAAATGTTTTATAGCATGTATTATTAGCATATTACATTTAAACTATGTAAGGTCAAACATGACTCACAGGTCCAGTATTTCCATTTTTATTTGTTTTGGGAAATATCAATCAAACAATCACAATGGAACAGGTAAAGAAAATTCAGCAAAATAGAAACAAGAAAAAAAAGGTATACCAAAAATGAAACAAACTCGTCAACCATACAGAATTCCTAGATGTTTATTAAAATAAAAGATATCATAGTATGTTCTTTTGCTGTAAAACTACTGTATAGTATCATTTTAGACACACAAGAAAAATAAATAAAACAAGCTGATGAATAGATGGATACAACAACTGACAGGTGAGTCTCATTCAGGAGGCAACAGTCAGTTAGCTAAAATATGCAATTTCTTATAGAAATGAAGATTGGTAAAGGCAAGCTTGTCCCTTTCTTTGAAGCCATATAGGATGTTTAAGTTTTGCTGGCACAACACAAATCTGCAGGAAGAGGGCATTGTTGTACCTTAATCTCTAAAGTAAAAATATCATAACATGGCTTCAATAATAATGAAGTTAACACAACATACGTGTCACCATATTTAGTTCACCTACCCATCAAAAATGTCTTCTTCAAATGTAAAAACATAACACATTAATATATTGTTGCTAGTAGTTTTTTCCATAATGTCTCAGGTAAGGGTATGAAGGTAAATATTTCAGGAGCAGGAAAAGCCTCTTTGCTTTGGTTCTCACATTTGATGAGACGAGAGAACAGACAGCTTGTGTGACAGCGGGGTTATGCCCCTCCACTGTCAGAAGCTGGAGAGGATGTGAATAGGTGAAAAACTACAACCTGAGCTGTGCAAACCTGACTTTTCCACCGGAAAGTCTTCTGTTATTCATGCAAAGTTTACACAGTCAATACCCTCTCAAGCTGTAGTGTGCTCACAAGAACGGACTTGACAAGATAATGACCACGTGTGGTTTCAGTGCAGCCTTATTTACTCTGCTTTATCTTGCTGAGAGGTAAGAGAAAGGTGAGGCCTTCATCAGGAAGAGGTTTCTTTAGCAATGTAAAACATGAACTTCTATGCTATTGTTATGTATGATTGTACTAGCTGAGCTAAACATGCAACATCAGTAAACAATCAAACCTGTAACATAATTTCCTGTAAGATAACCCACTAAGCAACTAAAATGCAGAATGTAAATTATATTAGCAAAAATGTATGAGAAAAATATATTAAAAAATATGCACAATAAAAAAGTTGCAAACAATAAGTGAGAAGTGTAGGAGCATTGTTTTTAGTATTTGCCCAGAAAAGCATAAATATCTGCTGTGGCAAGTTGCACTTACACAAGATGACCACCAGAAGGCGCAGATGGTGTTCTTTTCTGCAGAGGAAACATTTGCTTATAGTCTTTTATGATTTTTAAATGCACTGCTGTCCCACTACAGTATACACTGTTGAGGGAACTTGGTTGTATCTCTCTGTGTCACGTCTTCCCCGCATCTGTGTGGAGTTTGTGATGCTGAAAAAAAGAACAGCAATAATGATGCTAAAACCCCAATACCTTGTTAAAAATCCTGAAAAAGTGTGTTGTTAGTCTTTCAGATGGATTTGAATGTTTTTAGGTCAGATACACCAAACCAGGACAGAAAGAAAAAGAGGATGAAGCTAAAAGTAAGCACTGTTATATATATTAATCTCAGTTTTTTGCCACAAACCACAAAAACGACTTGATGCCGCAGTTCTACGCATGCGCACTGACATGTACTGTTTGTGTACTGGTAATTTAACACATGGTTTCAACAATGTAACTGTACGTAAATGAACCAGGTATATCCTTGGAGTGAATAAGGTGAGTTTGGCCTCACAGGTGGAGGTGTTGGTTTAAGTGCTCTGGCTCCATGCTGCATTAGCTCTGTGTGCAGGCTGCTGTCTGAACAAGTCCTCAGATCTGTGGATGTCTACCTAGCTCACATTCCAATGTCAGGGAAAAGAAAGGCAAAATTGTCAGTTAAATGCTATGTTGCAGGGCGGGACTCTTTCCACAGACTAATATTATATATTGCCAACTGTAGCTCTATAATGAAAACATAACTTCAGTTATTATCATCTGAGGAGCAATGTGTCACAGCTGTAGTCATGCTAATTGTTATGTCCTTTCCTACAGGACGCCGGAAGACTTGCTACCGTACAGTACATGATCATAGGGTATTAAAAGTAACATTACAACTTATTTATTGATAAATGATATAGTCAAGATATATACTAATTGATAACTTGAAATACAAAATGATAGGAAAGCTAGAAAAACATGAAATAATATGGATACCTCATATAAACTTTATTGATTAAACCTTGTAAAAAGGGTCTGTGAGAGGGCGCAGTCGTCTGACTTTTAGGTCAAATCTCCATGCTGTCAGATTCATGTTTTGGAGAAAATAAGAATTGTTTTTCGTTTTTAAATGTTTACATTACATGAATTGACCCTCTGATTTTGCAGTTAAGTGCACCCACCCATTTAGTTCTGGCTCAGAAATGATTGCATGTTATTCTTCCTCTCTTGTTAACATATATTATATATATGTATTTCCTCAATGGAAGCTTTTCAATAAATGCACTTAATTCATTGTAAAATAAATATGAAATAAGGAAAACAAATGCTCATCATCCAATGCCACTTTAGTTTCAGGGTCAAACTCCACTTTGATGTGCTCAATATACAGAAACAGAAACAAGCTCGAAACTTCAAACTCAGGGAAAAGGGATATGTTGTTTTGTCTTTACCTTACCATAAAGTACTCATCTGACATATAACTTAATATTTACAAGAATACTTGCCTCAATTGGTTGAAGAGTCCAACTATGAATTCATGACTTTGTTCTTAATGGACAACTTGGCTTTAGAAATACAAAATAGAATAGGTCAGTTTGAGCTGACTTTCAAAACACTTTTGAAGTATAGAAATATGTTGGCATTGTTAGATCTTGAATGGCAAAGCACCAACATGTCATATTGCCTCTGTTCTTCCAGCAACCTTGACACACTTATTGATCCCTTCCATATAAGTTCACAAGCTCCAACAGACTGTGCTGCTAAATGGTGCAGATCCTGATGGCCGGATTGAACCCGCTGTATTTACTTGGCAGAGTCTTTGTTGATGGAACAGTGTTCGTAACCAGGTCGTTCTGCTGATCCTGTCGACACTTTTCACATTTAAAAGCTTCACACCATTTCCAAGTCCAATGATTTACTGCTCTTGTGATAGCTTGACCCAACGTTGTTTTCCATCATAACTTCAACAAAGCTTTTTTTTCTATTTGTTTATCAATCAACTGTTTCAACTCAAGGCAGAAAGCATTGTCAGCAGTCCTTTTACTTAAGCTTTTAGCTTAAAGACCAACAATTAAAACATCCCAACACTTTTGTGTACAAACCTGAGAATAACAAGAGAGTTATAATTATATGCAGATCTTTTCGAAATATTTTAGCCTATTTAAAAAAATGTACATTTAAATGTGCCCTGAGGACATTATAAAGAATACCATCATCAGCAAACTATGAAAAAATTAAATAAATAAATCCACAACCTTTTGGGTTCTTGGAAGTCTATGATAGCCATTCAATAACATATTAGCTGGAACTGATACAACGTGGTGCAACATTAAACACTTGAATCAGGTTTTTAGTTCAGGATATGCAATGTGCTGATAAAATAACAACTCTTTAAGTTGTTGTTCAGTCGTTGTCACGAAACGTTTCATAACCAGCTTCAGGGTCTGAGTTATATCGGATTACTTCCAACAGCTGAAATCAGGAAAAGGGGGGTGTGGGGCTGTGGAGCCAATAAACAGCTGAAGGGACACCGCAGCCCACGCTGAGACTCACTAGCACACAACAGACTCACACCCAGGTCCACGTGTTGTCCAAGCCCCTCACCACAAGGCACAGGATCAAACACTGCCCGTTGGCTCCTGCAAAAGACGGAAAAGTCAGGTCACACTGCATAACACTGATACTGGATTGAGAAATACAAAACCCATGTTGGCCCCTTGACCCTATACATTACATACTGTAAATAAACTCTTTGGTTTGATTCAAACTCAGTGGTTTAATAACTTGACTGCAGCTTATTAAAAAAAGATCCTTCTAGGCACGACATTAACCTTGAAAAATCACCAATGAGTTTTTCCTCGTAATTATTCAGTTATACGAGGCTGGACTTATTTTGGAACTTTACATGCCAATAAATATAGAAATGGTCTTCAAGAATCATGAAACAAGATCAGCTGATAATTGTAGGAGGCTGCTTTTTTGCTACTCTTCTGAGCTTTTCAGTATCTGGTAATATCTACAACCCTAATGAGAATGCACCATAAGGTGAGCCATATCTATCCAGTTTACAATCTCTGTTTCAAAAACATTTGCTTTCTCACTTTTCGACAATGTACATTTTGAACAATTTATGGATTGAACAAATGTTGAAAACGTATTAAAGATGAGCTTTAAAATATTTGGAGACGAGAAGTGTGTTTCTTTCCTTGGAATGTATTGCAAAGCCTCAAGTAAGCTAAGCAGCCTGCCATGCACTGGCCACCTGAACTATCTTTAGCCCCTGCTGGCAAGTGAATGGAAGTGCCTGACTTATCTTCACTGCTGTCATCGAGGCAGCCAGTATTTTTAGGGGACAGCAGCAGCTGCAAAAGCATTTAACGGTATTCCACGAACAATGACACTTGGGGTGTCTAAGGCTTCAACGACAGAGATTGGGGGAACACTGAAGTTGTTCAACAGGAAGCTTGTGTGTATACTGAAGTTCTCTTTTCTGTTCCTCCTACTGGCACACGTCTATGAAGATGACCTGGAGTACAACTTGGGACCCTTGAGGAGAGCATGTTTCTGAATCTGAAGTCAACTTGGGACATTACTCAGCCTTCAGGAGACGGGTGGCATTGCTTCTTACCTAGAAGAGAGATTGCAAGTGAGGAATGTATGTTGACGGTCGTTCCCGGCGACTGAAGCGAGGTAGGTCATGTGAGGGATACACGGCACAGCTTCACAAGGGGCAGAGGTCATTCCAATTAAATCAGACAAGTAAACACAGGGGTTAATCTCCTCTCTTTAAACCTCCGGAGGGAATATTGAAGACACTTTCAACACAATGTCCAAACTGTGCTAATTAAACCTTTTGCTCCGTGAAAAACAGTTTTTAAGCAACGTAGCAATTGTAAAGATCGAATTAAGATGAATATAATATTCAAGATTGACACAAACAATGTTTTCAATATTCAGTTCAATTTTTAAGTTAACAAACGGTGTTGTTAGGTTAATCAATACTATATTAAATTCAATGTTACCTATATTGTACATACCTACAAAGTTTAGGGTAAGCTGAACAAACTATAAAGAAATAATAGCTTTATTTCATTTTGAGTCTGCATGCATAACACATAAAGATGATATGACAGTTCTTTAAAATTGTCAAAAATACAAGAAACTATTGCTCAATTTTCCAGTATTTATTTGACCAAGAGTATTTTATTAACAAATGAACATTAATATATTGTTTCAGTGAAAAATATCCTTCAAAATAAACTTAATTTAATAGTATACGATGAACAATTAAGTGGCTTCATAAACATCCTAAGATTACATTTTTAAAGAATTGAATCCTTGTTCCCTGCATCCAAGAGGACTACGTTACAACACTCTAGGGGGTCTGTCCTAAAACACTAAAACTCAGTTTACTTGTGAATATATTTTTCCAAGTTGAGAGGCTATCCAAGGAAACTTTCAAATTGAGATTACACAAAGACAGAAAGAGCTGCCAACATAAATGTGATTTGGGGTCTTTTAAAGAAACGTATCTTTGAACTTCAGTGTTAACATTTTAATATTTTTTAAATTAAGATAATTTTAACAGTGACATATGCTCAACATATTTTGACTACAAGGCCTCTGGGGTGGTAGACTGTTATTTCGGCCTGTGTTTGTGTGAGCACGCAGGTTTCAGAACCTTCTTTGTGATACCTGACACACACTCCATCGCAGGTCTTTATTTAGGGCATACTATATTAAGCACTTTCCCATTGAAATACAGCACCAGCTGTACTTGCTATGTGTTGTGGCTGCTGTTGCAATAGGACTAGGCTTTCCCCCCTCTCACTGCTCGCCTCATGCAGACAGATCTAATTCAATTAGCCCTAATATTCATACCATCCGTTTGCGCTGAAACAGATGCTCATAAAGGAGGCTGAGGGGTTGTCCATTAGGGTTCATTTTCTTTATACAGGAAGTCTCAAAGTATAACTTTATTGCATACTTTATCTGATTAATCATACCGTTGAATGATAGTTACATTTCTAAAACAAATGACAATTTAGTTTTATTGTTTTACATTTTCTCATTTAAATCTCATGAGCCCTTCGATATTAAAGTAACCCATCTGTTGTTTCTTTTTTTTAGAAATTTGCAGTGCAGAAGTTGGACCGTCTTCCCCCAGAGAATAACTACCACCTATTACTCTCCTGGACTGCTAAAGGTGTAGTAAAGCTGACAACAAAGTAGAAATGGATGTATTTGGCGGTGCACCGCGTTTCTTCGCCTATCCAAGACCTGTTGTGGTCCAAACTGGAACTGATGCAGTCCTAAAGTGTCAAATTGGTGGTGATCCAAGGCCTGCAGTCATCTGGGAGCGAAACAATGAAAAGATTGAACCACAGGGGCGATACAGGATCTTTGAGGACGGAAATGTTTACAATCTCATCATTTCAGCTGTAACCATAGAGGATAGTGGTCAGTACATATGCAAAGCAAAGAACAGCATTGGGGAAACATATGCAGCGGCCACATTAAAGGTGGAAGGTGAAGCACAAGAGTTGGAGTTACGAGAGGAAAATAAGCCACGATTCCTCATCAAGCCCCTCTCCACTCGCGCCGGCCGTGGGGAAGATGCAGTTTTCTCTTGTAAGCTCTGGGGAAACCCACGACCAGACGTTGTCTGGGAAAAGGATGGGAGAAAACTCAATGAAATATTTGAAAGCACACATTTCAGTGTGGGCTTCCAGGACGGTGGATGGTTCCAGCTCAAGATCTTTAAGACTCGCGCTCCAGACGGTGGTGTATATACGTGCAAAGCCAGGAATGAGTTTGGAGAAGCGTTGGCAGGAGCTGTGTTGCTGGTTGATGCAGGCCCAGGACATGAGGAAGAGGGAAATCGAAATAGCTACACAAATGGCCAATGGAAAGCTCACCAAGGAAAACAGAGGAGACAATTGCCAAACCGGCTCAAAGACGACACAATGTCAACTAAAGTCAAAATGTTTGCAGTGACAGAGGGTAAACATGCCAAATTTCGCTGCTTTGTGACTGGGAAACCCAAACCAGAAATCATTTGGAGGAAAGACGGCAGACTGATACTGTCTGGAAGGCGTTATTTGTTATACGAGGACAGAGAAGGATACTTCACACTTAAGGTTCTGTACTGTAAGCAGAAGGATAATGGAGTTTATGTTTGTGCTGCATCAAATACTGCCGGGCAAACCCTCAGTGCCGTCCATCTCTCTGTAAAGGGTAAGTCAAGATCATTTTCATTAAGTTCGAATCTTTTTAAATGTAGGCACACTTAAAAGCTGCATGAGTAAAGGAGTGAGGGAGGGTGTGGTGTGTTCTTGGATCAGATTTCTATCCATGTGATGCTAGAATGATGTCAGTGAGATATCTCCAAAGATGTACTCTGAGATCATTTATTGGGGTAGGGCCAGACAGAGAAGGCTAAATTAAACGCTGAAAACGTTTTATGGCGGTAATATGATGCTTTAAAAAACTGCTATTTTTTTCTACTGATATTGATAAGAGAAATGTCAAGTATATGGCTGGTATTGTCATCCAGTTGAGCCACAAAAAGAAAATGCAGATCCGCAGGCCAGTGAGCTTCACATAATCAGTGGTAAAATCATATCCAACTGCGTAAATGTAATTCAATCCTGGTTCACTGGAGTAATAATAATATGAAATTCAACCTGAGAAATATCTAAACAGGCAAAGTTCATCAGCTTGAGGTGGATTCCAAAGGCAGTATGATGTCTGCAAAGCCACTTAGCTTTTGAAAGGGGTGCGTCCATGTGATCGAAGTCTTTGGGAAGGGGATCATGTTTCTCACATGGCCACATGAGAAGTCCACACTCATGGCACCAACAGAGAGTATTGTACTGTGTCTGTCAGACATACACTTTAATATTGGGAAAGGATATCAGTGGTGGTTAGTGAGTAGATTTGAAGGCAATGTATTTATTGTCTATGTGTTTGATTGGACTAAATCATTGAGGAAATGTAGCGCTTTCCACACAGACTACTAAATACAGTCCACATTCTGTTGTTTACAACTGTCTGGTACCGTCTGGTGGTGTCAGTGACAAACACTTTATTTCCTATCTAACACCCTATGTGTTAATGACCTTATCATTCCTCAACTAAATGAGCCACTTGTCTCGTGATTTTGCCAATTGTGTTTGCTTCTTTGGAATTTACTGCCAAATATATTTCAATTTACACTGTGAACTAAAAGCTCATAGATGATGTGCTGTGTTTTCGGAGGGTCGTCTTACCTGAGGAATTTATAAAGATCAAGTAACACTAATGTGTCTTTATGATTAGAAGTAAATAGGAATATCTTAAACTAGATTTCCTTTTTTTTCACATTTTTAATTAGGAGATGTGATATAAGCCTATTCAAACTTTTGTTTCCTCCTTTTTGTTGCCAGAGCCGCCTGTGAGGTTCAAGCAGCCTCTCATTGATCTAGAAGTATGGGAACGAGATTTGGCTGTTCTCGAGTGTGAAGTTCCAGAGGACTCTGTTTCCATCACATGGTATCTGGAGGATAGACGACTGCAGCCAGGAGCCAAATATGGAATGGAGGAGTGGGGAACAAAACGGCGACTAACTATCCGTGACATTGATGTTGACGATGATGGGATCTACCTCTGTGAGATGCCAGATGGGGGCAGAAGCATTGCAGAGGTAGCAGTAAAAGGTAAATCAGGTTGATCAAATCAAATAACTGTGGTACTTTACGATATTGTTTGTAGGAGACATTTACTGTACATGTATGCTTAGGATGATCAGAAACAAAGCTTATCAGTTCTGGGACAAAAAACCTGCACTACCCTCTGGCTCTCCAGTTTCATTCCTTTTATCTCCCCCCTCCTAGCTGGTCTTGCACCTAAGAGACAAAGTACATATTTTAAGATGAAAATTGTATTAGCAGTGAACATAAAGTCTGTGTCTTCATTTTTGTCAGGTAACTTGGGGAACCACTCATTGTGTGTTTGGTGTTACATGTAATGCTTGTTTTAAACAGTGCCATTTAGCAAACACTATATTAAAAGGTCCAAGTCAATTATGACTCTTCTTCCCAGAGAAATGACGGCATCAGTTGTTTAGGAAACAACAAATGTGTATGTTCAAGTGAGAAACTGTGCAGCGAAGTGGAGGAGATGAAAGTTGTTAGACATGTCAAAAGACATGTCAACAGTGTTCATTTTAACTGTGACCAAAATCATTCCTGAACCCTAACACAGTAGTTTCTTATTTAACCATGATAATGAAGGTCACTTTATATTAACTATTTAAAGTTGTTTTTAACAATGCCGATTCAAGATGATTTTGGGAATCACTTAAAAATGATGTCCCGACGATGTGTTGTTCCGACGGTCAAATGACATACAGTATATTGTTGTTTAGTTTGTCGTGTCTTTGTCTTACATTAGATAACCAATATCCTATATATGGTAATGTGCTAAGAAGTCACTCACTTTCTACGTGTTTTCTTGCAGGGACAATTTTGCGGAAGCTACCAAGAAAAGTGGATGTATTGGAAGGCGAAAATGCTGCCTTTTGTGTTGAAGTGGAGAATGAAGAAATGGACATACATTGGTACAAAGATGCCCTAGAGCTGCGTGAGACACATCAGACCATCCTTAAGTCCTTTGGTCGAACTCACATCCTGGTTTTTGTCAACACAATGCCCCAAGACTCTGGCCTTGTGACTTTCCTTGTAGGCAGATCCAAGACATCCTCTCAGCTAAGAGTGAAAGGTAGGGTATTACAAAATTCCAAATACAGTATTTGCAAAATAAATATTTAGATTGATTAATTCGTTTTGGTATTAAATCAACATTCATCAGTTATTCCAGTCCAAAGAGACATTGATGTAGTATGGGTTTTCTTCTTTTTCAGAGGCAAGACATTGCCCACCCAGTTGTCCAGTGAGTGTGCAGATCAACACAGAGCGTGCTAATGCAGCTCTTCTCTCATGGGCTCCTGCTCAAGACTCCCGAAAGAACCCTCCATCTGGATATGTACTTGATCGACAGGAAGTGGGCACTGGTTCACAGGAGTGGTTACAGTGCCTGACCACTGACTCCGCAACCTCTGTGGAGATCCTTGGTGACAGTGTACCATGTGAAGCCGATTATCGATTTCGCATCTGCAGTGTAAACAAATATGGGAAGAGTAACACTGTGGAATTCCCTAGAGCTGTTCATTTGGGTAATTGCTTAAGTGAATTCATCACATTGTTTGTTGATATTGCTTGCTAAAATCATGTATAAACATGATTATCTTTCCAGTTCCAGTTGCCAGAATCCAAGCTCCCTTACAGGATGCCTTGGTGCCCGAGGGACAAGATGCCCTCTTCTCTATTGAGCTCTCTGCTTCAATAATCGGGACATGGTTCTTAAATGGCGCTCAGCTTCAGGAAGATGAACGATATTCCATGCGTCGTTCACGAACACACCAATCTCTTCGCATTCGAGGAGTACGTGATACAGACAATGGAGCTGAGATCACATTTATTGCCTATAGCATTCGGGATTCTGCTGCATTGTACATTCAAGGTATGTATGGGTCACTGTCATAATTTGTTCATAAGTATGTATTATGCAACACCTCAGATGTATTCCGTTTTTTCTTTTGAAAAATGTGAAAACATTGTTTGGCATCAACTATGTGAAACGAAACTAAAGTACTGTATCATTCTGTTAATTGTCCTAAATAACAAGACTCAAAACGTCATTGTTTTTTTTAACATTTGCAGCTCCACTTGTCAAGTTTTCACCAATGTCAGAAATGGATCGAAACAAATTTGTAGAAATTGGAAACCCCATTGTGCTCTACTGTGAGCTGTCAGACCCTGCAGTTCCAGTCCACTGGTACAAGAATGGGGTGGAATTACAAACAATGGAGGGTCTGCATATCCAATCCGAGGGTACCATGAGAAGAATTGTCATCCAATCAGCAGAATTCTCACATTCGGGAGTGTATTGCTGTGATGCCATTGATGACGTCATCAGATTCAATGTGGAAGTAGAGGGTGAGTGGAATGAGTTTTTTTACAATGCTGGTGTCTTTCACTTACCTTATCTTTATTTGTATGCCCATTTTCGTTTCTTATTGAAAAAATGTATTTAGTCTTCTTTTAAGTCAGATGTATCAAATGGTATGGCATTTACAACTGAATGAACCATTGAAATATGTAAATATCCATAGCCCCACCTGGGAGGTTTTCAGCAGTTCCGGATGGTGAGAAGAACAAAACATTTGAAATCGGCTACCCTATTGTTTTAAGCTGTGAGCTCTCAGATCCTTCTGCCCAGGTGCACTGGTACAAAGATGGGTCAAAGCTCCATCCTCAAACTGGAGTAGATATTCTAACTGAAGGCTTGGCAAGAAAACTGATTGTCCATTCAGCAGAATTGTTCCATTCTGGATTATACTGCTGCAAGACAAAGGGTGACACCATCTCGTTCAGTGTGGACATCAAAGGTGATTTGTTGTACCTTAAGCAATGTAAATCAGTAACAGGCTCATCCTTAGCAAAAGCAACTAACTCCGATTCCCTTTTGTATGTTGTCTATTGTCTTTCTTCATAACACTCATTAGAAGTGCAGCTAAGCTGTCGCCTTTTCTTTGACTGCATTACAGCATGTTAGCAATTTAGTTATCATCTAATAGATTAGTATGAATAGGCTTAAGGGCTGTCATGAGGTTGATATAAGGTTGACTTAAGATCTAAACATATCTATAGCTCCACCTGTGAAGTTCTCAGCAATCCCCGAAGAAAAGAGGACGAGGTCGATCGAAGCAGGCTGCCCTATTGTACTCCAGTGTGTGGTGTCGGATCCTGAGGCCCATGTTTGCTGGTACAAGGATGAAACTCAGCTCATTTCAAACTCTGGATTAGAAATCCAGTCAGAGGGCAACACAAGAACATTAGTTGTTCAGTCTGCAGAGCTGAGCAACTCTGGTGTGTACAGATGCACCACAAAGGATGATACCATGGAGTTTCAAGTGGAGATCAAAGGTGACTTTACACTTTTTATCTTGTGCGTTAATATTATAACCCCACATCCTTTTTTCTAGATGCAACTAATTATCCCGCTTGTACTGTATGTGGTTTGAAATACTGTTTTGTGCACATAACCTTAAAGAACTGTTAATGGACTAGGTCATTTTTAGTTTTAATCATTTGTTTTGCGACTGCTATACTCTGAATTAAGTCTCCAAATCCCCTTTTGTTCTGCTCAGCAGTCACATTTTTGCAAGGTATTTCCCCAGTCTTGGTTTTATTTAGCTGTCCTGAATTCCCAATGCTAGCTATACCAGTGACGTACTCTACTATCTTTGACGTTGAGAGAACCAAGTCACTTGAAGCGGGCAAACATTTGGAGCTGGAATGTGAGGTTGCAGACTCTACTGTGCCCGTCTGCTGGTATAAAGATGGTGTACAACTCTCCCTGCAAAATGATTGGGATATACAGAGTAAAGGCACATTGAGGAAACTCATTATCCCATCTGCTGAGTTCTTGCACTCAGGGCTATACAGCTGTGAAACCTGTGATGACACTTTTCACTTCACTGTGGATATCAAAGGTGATTTCAATTTAAATTGATTCAATCTTAATGCAAATCATAGAGCGTTTTGATGACTAGATGCACCTGACACTTACAAAATGCATATCTGTCTGTCTGTCTGTCTGTCTGTCCGTGTTTTGTAGTGTTTTGTGTGAACTTGTAACAGTTTCTTAACACATGGTTAAATTAACTGCTACTGACTAAATGAACATATCTCTGTATTCCTTGAAAGTTTGGTTCCCTGTTTGGGAAAGCTGAACCTATAACCCCTTTCTTTATCAGAGTGTTAATATGCACTGTCAATTATAATATTAATCATCATCTTCAGCTCCAACGTTGCGGTTGGCGCCCTCACCAGATGTTGTGGAGACACAGTCACTTGAAGCAACCAGCCCATCTGAACCAACATGTGAAACCTCAGAAACTGCTTTACTGGCGTCTTGGCAGAGGGACAAAGAACATGATTCTAAAAATGAGCCTGATTTAGAAATGGGAGGCATCAAGAAGACCCTTGTTATTGAACCAACTCATCCTTCAAACTCTGGAACATACTATTGTGCAACAGCAGACGATGTTGCACAATTAATAGTAAACAATCAAGGTGATTTTGCAAATGTGTTTTCAATTTGAGTTATGACTAACTCTTTGTGTAGCTTTCTGTTTGTCCTATGTTTGATGTTATAATGCAGTGCTAATATCTGGGAAAGATTTGACAATATCACTTTGAAGTCACGTTTTTAACATCTAGAATGATGTACACTGACATTATCCCTCAAATGATTGTCTGTAGTGTCACCTCCGACATATCTGCTTGCTCCAGATGTTGAGAAGACTGAGTCTGCTGAAGTGGACGGCCAAATTGTTCAACAATTTGAGATTTCTGATCCCATTGCCAAAGCCTGTTGGTTCAAAGATGGAACCCAGATCTACCCAAAAAGGGATGCTGACTGTGAATCACAGGAAGACAGCCAAACAGTGCCCCTCCAGTTACATGACTTGTCTGGTGGGGGGAGGTTTGGTTGTGAAATATCTGCTGATGCACAGTTCAATGTTCACATGAAAGGTGGTGTTCCACATGGTACCTGCACAATTCAGAATCAATTATTTGGTGACATACGTGAAGCTATCACCCAGCTCATTGTTTTCTTTTTGGCTTTGTCCAAACAGCAGAGCAGTGTCACTATGGTGACGAGATTGGTGAGATAGCTGATGCCTCTGCCCAATACACTGTGGATGTCAAAGGTGATTTGATATATTTCAACATCAGTCATCCATCTTAACCCAGCACATAAATACCACTAACAAAAGTGGTGTATTTTATTGTTCCATCATTTGAGGCATCTGCATCTTTTTTCCTTTAGCAAAGTGCTTTTTTCATATTGAATCCAGATCTCATGTCATTTCATGCAGTGATTGGCTGTTAATCAAACATGTGGGTGTTACATAGCTGAGTAGCTGCTCTTCATACTAACATATGTTTTGTTTGTCAATTAATTCTTCATTGTAACAGCCATCTTTGCTTGAACAAGCAGCTAACCTCTCTTAAGTTCATCTTTGTCTTATTCATCACCAGATCCTCTCATTCACATTGCTGCCCGAACATCTCACCGTTGCAATGACAACGAACTCTTATCTAAGAAAGTAAATTAACTGTTTAGGTTTTTAAGACCTTAGTAAACATACTGGTGGTATACCAGTTGTAGGAGTCGGTTGAAAGGGGAAACATGGGAACTCAATCTCAGACCAAACCTGGTCGATCTTCTTGTTTGTCTTTGCAATGAATTATCCCATAACTCCATTCTAACCCACACTGATGTAAAATTCTGTTATGAGAAGAAGTATTGAGACCATCAACCAATGAAAACCTTTCTCTGTGTACATCACAATGCTTATAGCTACATCGCCAAGGCACTCTTCTGACCAAGAAAAGAAGTCCAATGAAGAGGCCTATCCTGTTGAAGTTGACTGCATGTCCTCAAAATGCAATTCTGGTAGCTGGGACGAGAGAGGAGATACACAGACAAATGAAGAACATTCCAGGCATATGCCAACTTCTCAGTCAAAATATGAATATATGACTGACTGGAATACGACTAAACAGTCAAAGGAGCTCTACGGCAATCAACGAACATCTCCAGCTTTCTGTAACTCTGTAAAGCCACCAATAACACAATCTGACACACACCATCACACTAATAAGCCCACAGAATCACAAGGTGAGGATTTCATTTACTATCTTCAGCATGCAAAAGCCCCATCTGAAGAGCTTGATCATTCCAAGCCGACAGCTGTCCGAACAGATGAGTTCTGTAATTTTCTACAAACTGCAGCTGTTGGATCAGAGGAATGCCCAGTCAAGACTCTATCTGTCCAGTCAAAAGGGCTACATAGCCCAATACAGATGCCAACTGTCCAGTCAGAACTAGGTAATCCCCAACAAACTTCAACTGCCCAGACAGAACACATTACTAACCACCAACATATTTCAACAGTCAAATCGGAAAAGTTCTGCAACTCCTTAAAAACTGCAATTCTGCAGTCAGAGGAGCCCTTTAAATGCTCACACAATGCAACTGTCCAACCAGAGAAGCTATATAAACATTCACACACTAACGTTTTGCAACCAGAGGAGCCATTTCAATGTTCACACACTGCAATTGTCAAACCAGAGGAGTCTTTTAAATTATTACACACCGCAACTGTCCATCCAGGTGAGCCCTCTAAATCTTTTCATACTAGAACTGTCGAATTAACGGAATCCTTACAGTCCTTACATAGTGCGATCGTCCAATCAGAGGAGCCCTATGCATCTTCACATATTGCAACTGTCGAACCAGAAGAGTCCTTTAAATCCTCACATACTACAACAGTCCAACCAGAGGGGCATTCTGAATCCTCCTATATTGCAACTGTCAAACCAAAGGAGTCGTTTAAATCCTCAAATGCTGCAAATGTCCAATTAGAGGAGCCCTCTAAATCCTCCTCACACAATGCAACTGTCCAATCTAATGAGCCATCTAAATCTTCACATACTGCAACTGACCAAACAGAGAAGCCTTTTAAATCCTCACAAACTGCAACTGTCCAATCGGAGGATCTTTGTAGATCCATACAGATGCCAGTCCTGTCGGAGAAGCTTCTGCATTGCTTACAAACTGAACTTGTCCATTTAGAGGAGCCCTGTTACTCCTTATGGACTGCAACTGACCAATCAGAGGAGTTGAACAGACCCTTACAGACATCAACTGTCAAGTCAAAGAAGCTCAGTGGCCTTCCAGACACTGTATCCCCTCAATCACTGGACTTGTATAACTATAATGAGGCAGAAACAGCACAAGCCAAAAAAGGATACAACTTGCAACAATCTGCGCATGACGGATTGGATGACCTCACTCAAAAGGAACAATCAATACCGAACCATTCAGAGGTTTTGTCTCATTCCATGCAAGCAACAACAGTACAAGCAAAGTGTCATCTCAACATGAAGGCATCAGAAGACGAAGTAGACATCAGAAGTTACTCTGGGCAAAGATCACCTCTTCAGTTTGCAGAGCCTCAATATATCAAGCAGGCATCTACTTTCCAATCGGAAGAGATCTATCTATCAAGGACATGTGACAGTCACTGGAGTGACAGTGTCAGAGCAAATAAGGTGGCGGTTGAAGGTGATTTAAATGGTTAGCATTATCAAACCAAAAATGGACGGGCACAATGTTGACATTGTGTAAAATTAAGAGATTGCTTTTGCAATCCTTGACATTTTGACAATTTCTACATTAACTTAAGTAGTTTTTGTATGAACAAACTAAAGTAAGTAGTCAGTGTAAAACTTTGAGCTTGAGTGGTCTGTGAGGAATATTAAAGAAAAGTATGTTTCAAATCCTAACTTGAATGCCTAGTTATCTCAAGTCTAACCAAAGATACCTCTAGTTAGATTACTAATAATGAAAAATACATATATTTTATTATTACTTATTTTAACTGTTAAGATTTATTGGCATGACTAATCTTGATTTGAGACTTTGCTCTGTTATTTTCGCTGTAGTCCGTATTAGTGATGCAATTTCTTTTCTCTTGATGTTACCTCAAACATCCCCAGCTCCACCCGTGAGAATTACAACACTTTGTGAGGCTGAAAGGAACAAGTCTGTTGAAGTCGATGAACCCATAGTGCTGCAATGTAAGATATCAGATCCTAACGCTCAAGTTAATTGGTACAAGGATGGAATAAAACTTCTTGAAGCATCTGGGCAAGACATGCTGGTGGAGGGTTCCATAAGAACGCTGGTCTTCCAGTCAGCGATGCCGTCTCATGCAGGGATTTACAGCTGCACAACAACAGATGATGCAGTGCAGTTTCATGTGGATGTTGAAGGTGACAAAAGTTGTTTTCATCTGTTCTGAAAATAGATTTTTGTCAGGTTCTGTGTAATTCAAATGCATATACATTGCTTAGAGAAAGTAAGTCCTCATTATTTTACTTGGATGAAGAATAATCTACCTCTATCAATAAACAGAAAACCAGCATTAATTAAAACACTGCCATAGCGTTTAATACATAACATTTTCATTTAGTATTTAGATTACATCAGTTTAAGGTTGAAGTTATTACATGACATCTGTACAGACTAAGAGATCTTAGGTACATGCTGCTATTTCAACACAGTCTCACGGCATTTCGTGTTATAGTCACGAAATTAATCTATTGATTCGTGTTCACCAACACGATTTTCGCATTTTTTTCGTGTCACACAGAACGATTTTAAAAGCAATGTAAATAATAACAAATTTGAAGGAAAAAGATCTAAAAAAAGTTACAGATTTCAGTATTCTGACACAGAACGATTTTAGAAGCAATGTATTTCTATTGGTAGTATATTTCGTGCCTGCACCAAATAATAACAAATTAGAAGGACATTTAAAAAAATAAATACAGATCTCAGTATTCTGAGGCTCTTTGCCCCATTTATTTTCCTCGCGGACGGCAAAAAAACTCCGACATTATACAATTTAAAATAAAAGGGTTAGGGTTAGGCTTAGATATTGAGTAAGACATTTTTTTTATGAACCACACAGCTTCTGATCTTCCAAGACCCGACCGGACAAAAAGACGTGTTGCAGGCACGAAATATACTACCAATAGAAATACATTGCTTTTAAAATCGTTCTGTGTGACACGAAAAAAATGCAAAAATCGTGTTGGTGAACACGAATCAATAGATTAAATTAATTTCGTGACTATAACACGAAATGCCGTGAGACTGGGTTGGCTATTTGTGCGGTTTGCACACCAAAATTAAAGTGTTTGAGTATTATAACAACTTATAAACAATGACAAAGAGCTATAAGTGACCACTTGTGAAAGTGTGTAAAAGACTGCAGAATCGTTGCTCGCTAGCTCAAATATCTAAATCAATATACCCCTCCTGACCGCAGGTCCCTAGCTAAAATCGACCTACATACTACAGTAAAGACATTATAAATTAAGCTAATCACCCTAGCTGTGGTAAAACATTATGCTGCGTTCACACCAGATGCAATGCGAATATTCGCTTCGCTCTAATCGCTCCTATCGCATCGCTCTAAACGCTCGAGTTTCACCGCGGCTGCCAGCTGTGTTTACTCACATCATTCAAAAGAGACGCGCTGTCTGATGAACATATTTTACCGTGATTAAATTGTAATACACGTTTCTAAATTATGCCGAAGTAACAACATACTGATACCGGTTAGTAAAAACCATGAATTAATGCTTGACAAGTCTGCAGACAAGACGGCAGGCGAATAATCTTTTAAAATGCTTGTTTTCTGAATGAAGATCGGGTCGACCAGGCTAAGCTAACGTTGTATATGCTCATTCCACACTCATAACAACGACTTACAGACATAAATAAACCAGCGACTGTATTCGCCATGACACAGACAGTCTGTGGTTTGTACTTGTTTAACTTTTGTCCAGTTTCTGAACAGATATGAGGAGCTGTGAGCTCTGAGGGCTAACTGCTAACAGCTAACGGCTGATGTTGTGTGGTTGAACGTCAGTGACGGCAGGCTGAGATCCTCACCGCTGATTGGCTTCCGCGAGAACGCGTCACGTGAATTTGACGCTCGAGTTGAAAAAATGGAACTCTCGTGTTTAATGCGGCACCGTTCAATCGCTTCAATCGCGTGATTCGCGCGGCGTCCACCGCTTCATGCTCGCCGTCGGAGCCAATTCGTGTCTGTCCGCGTCTCTGCATTGACTTTACATGTAATCGCGCCGCCCCCAAACATCGCATCGCGTCCGGTGTGAACGCAGCATTACACGAGACTGCATTGCTCCACGTATTTTCCCGTTTTTGTGTCTAAAAGGTAGCTATTTAGGAAGCTTGCAATGATTCTCACTTGGCAAGATAATTAGTATGAGGGAACAACTCTGGTTTCTGTTGTTAAAGTGGTCATTTTCTGAGAAACAATCATGAATTTGATCAGATATTGAAGTGGTTAGTTCACAAGAAAGAAAAAAATGTACGATAAAGAAAAGTTGAATATTCCCAAGTCTATTGTCTATATCATTATTTTTTAGACTATACAATTATAATTTTTTTGTAAAATCAAACATTCTCTGAAATTGAAGTCACAGATTTACGAGAAAAAGTACCTTTACCTACCTTACCGAATAGGCAACTTGGGTGAAGGTATGACTTGCAATATGCTGCTCCTTTTGACTCCTACTTTCGTTAGTTGGATTTGTCGGTTAAGGTTAGACATGCCGGGTGGGATTGGTAGGGAGAAATTCAGTCAGAAAAACTGCAGATTGATTCATGCCCTCTCCAAAGTATAAAAAATAAGTTTTCAGACAAGGTAGATTTGTTAGTCCTAATGTGCTTCTGTTTGTGTTGGAATGACATGCTGTTGGACAAATGGGCTTTTGGTCCAATGGGACTTATTTCTGACAATTTGGGTTTTGGAATAATAGGCTGTCGAAAAAATTGCATGGCACTGAATTTTCTTCTTGCGAAATCCGATTGTGAAATATACTTTGACTGTGAACTTTGACCAGGTAGTGGTGTCTTCCATAGCGAAGTGTTCACTGGTCCAACTGTTGCGTGGCAAAGATGCCGATCATTATATGCAAAAAGTTTACAGTGTACCACACTCATTGTGCACTGCATTTGTCCGTACTGTACTTCGTATTTGGACGACTTGTGCACTCAAAATAGCAAATGTGAGTTCAGATATATATGAATTGAGACGCAGCAAAAAAAAAGATCTCAGAATATTACCCACTTCCCGGTTTTAAAAATGTATATATATTTTTTTTTACGCCTTACATAAGAAATCTAGGAAGAAATGTTTTATTTTTTCATTAAGAAATATGTGCTGCATCATCCTACAAGCAAATAACCAACATTCTGTATCTTTTACTTTGGGTCTACCAGGAATTCAATGTTTGTTAACTGAAGAAAATATAATTTAAAAGCTAATAAGGTATACACAAAAGATTTGTACAATATTTGCAATGGTTGAACATGCTGCTTAAGCATTTAGCTTCAGGCTTGTGCTTTGCTTCCTTTCGCTGATACCAGTGTCTGTTTTATTGACCAATTCTATTTTTACATTCAATCCTGTAGCTCTACTTCTGAAGTTCTCAGCTTTATCTGAGGGTGACCAGAAAAAGACGGTCATGACGGGCTCTCCCATTGCACTACAATGTGAGCTGTCAGACCCCACTGGACAAGTCAGTTGGTACAAGGATGGAACAAAGCTCCTACCTCAAAATGGAGTAGACATCCAGTCAGAGGGAAATGTCAGGGGTCTAGTTGTCCCATCAGCAGAGCGGGCTCACACTGGCATATACCGCTGCGAGTCAAAGGATGATGACATCCAGTTTGCTGTGGAAGTAAAAGGTGATGCTCAGGAACTCTGTAGCGCTTTCACTGTCTTGCACGGCCAACTTACTGTAACAGCAGGTGATTAAGTCACAATTGTCTAATCATCTAATAGAAAATGGTTATCTAATTTGGTCAACTAATTCCTAAAATCTATTGCCCCTAATCAATGTTTTAACAGTGTGAAATGAGATAATATAGGACTCCTCTCCAAAATCTGTTGAAGATGAGCAGCTTCACAATGCCGCTTCTGAATATGCATGTCCAATATCTGATGGAAAGCTTTCGTCTTTTTCATTTAAGACACTAACGGAAAACTTTATCACAAACAATCCCATTTTTGTTCTTATATGTGCTGTTTATTCTGTAATGTTTATGTAAGTCTACAATTACTGGATATCTTGGACATTCAGATATCGATTCTTGCTCTTCAAGCACTATGAAATGTGTTTTACTCATTGTCCTCGTTTGTGTTTCTGTTGTATGTTGTTGTGTCATTTTGTCTTGAAACTCTTTCTAATTGAATACAGTAGGTTGGATATTTAATGATCTCAAATAATAACATTCATGCAGTTATTAAGACACTCTATTTTCAATATTTGAAACCTATAGCACTACCTTTGAAGTTCTCAGAGCTTCAAGAGAAGGACAAGAGCAAGTACGTCCAAGAAGGTTCTCCCATTGTCCTCAGCTGTGAACTCTCTCATGATCCTTCTGCCCATGTGGATTGGTACAAGGATGGAATGAAACTCCTACCACAAAACAATATGGAACTACAGTCAGATGGTCTAACAAGAACTCTACTCATCCACTCAGCTGAACATATGCACTGTGGCACCTATGAATGCTCAACTTCAGATGACACCATCACATTTAAAGTGGACGTAGAAGGTGATTTATGTCCTTCCTTTCTATCTTCTTATCATACATACCACATCAATCTTGTTCTATGGTGTGAGTGTTAAACAATTTGTCGAGTTTGTGTTGAATGTTCTGGAGAACATGGTATGACTGTCTGTTTTGTCCACTGTTTGAGTTCAACTCTTATTCAAAACCCCTTGTTATTCCTTTCTCTTAGGCCGATCGCCAAAGATCATGCCAATCCCCCTGTCAGAAAAATACAAGATGATTACAATGGGTGGTCAAATTGTCCTTCAGTGTGAGGTCTCAGACCCTGTCGCCCAGGTCTCCTGGTTTAAAGATGAGGTTGAGCTTTTTTGCAAAACTGGCCTTGATATGAAAAGAGATGGCAGTCAGAGAAAATTAATGATCCATTCTGCTAAGGTCTCTGACTCTGGTCTCTACAGCTGTAGCCTCGCTGATGATGTTGTGACATTCCAGGTGGACGTTGAAGGTGATTTTCTTGAATTGTGTTCAGTTTTAAGTAGAGCTTCCAGGTTTTTCCAATTGCCTTTAAATGTGCACTACTTATTTGCTCAATTACATCCAACTGTAACTGTCTTAAAACACAGAACTTTATCAATTATCTATACTGCGCTAAAATAACCCAAAAGTTTGATGAACAATACTTAAATGATGTTCTGACAGCATAACAACAGTGCTTTGCAAATCTTATTTTACCCTCCAGCCTCTCCTGTGAGGTTTTCAGCACTTCCAGATGTTGCAAGAAACACATTTGTTGAAGCAGGCTGCCCACTTAAGCTGCAGTGTGAAGTTTCAGAGCCAACTGCGCAGGTCTATTGGCACAAGAATGGCAAACAGCTACCTCCAAAGAGTGACTGTGAAATCCAAACAAAAGAAAAACTCAGAGCGTTGGTTATTGCATCAGCAGAAGTCAGACACTCTGGGGTGTACAGCTGTGAGGCCGCAGATGACCATATAGAATTCAAGGTGGATGTTGCAGGTGATCCAAGTATTTTGAGCTTTGTCAGAATCATTAACTTCTTTTAGTGAATGCTTGCCTACTAGATCAACTTATTGAATTATAATGTTCTAAGATTGGGTGTACTGATGCTTACATTTGTACTTCATATGATTTGGGGGACATATAAACCCTAATAGAAAATATGTGACAGCTTGCCTAAATGTAATATATTATAATAATGGATATGTTCATTGGGGATCAGGCATTATTTAATGGTGCCAATTGTTTTTATAAGCAGCAGCAGTGATACGTAGCTCAATGTAGTTCTTGCTCTAACATGCTAATGCTTAAAGGCCATTTAGACTGTGCAAATCCAAAATGTTAGATTAACAGTGGATCAAATACTATGTGCAAAAGTGGTAGAGGTAGCTGGAAATAGCAAACTATAGCAAGTTTCAACCAATTTTGTAGTTTATCTTGGCCCCACACAGCCTTTTAGTGTTTTTCGGCACATTGTTTTGGTTTTACAACCAGAAGCTGTATCGTTTGGCTGTCTCACTGCCCTCATCGACCCTGTTGTAAAATGCAGCATGCAACTATTTAAATAACAATCTTTAATACAACGACTTAATGCTATTTGCCTGGCATGGGAGGCTAGCTTAATAGCCTGATATTGTAATCAGGAATTGGTGGAGACCAAAACAGAGCTAAAAGGACGACCAACACAGTCTCACGGCATTTCGTGTTATAGTCACGAAATGAATCTATTGATTCGTGTTCACCAACACGATTTCGCCATTTTTTTCGTGTCACACAGAACGATTTTAAAAGCAATGTAAATAATAACAAATTAGAAGGAAAAAGACATTTAAAAAAATACAGATTTAAGTATTCTGACACAGAACGATTTTAGAAGCAATGTATTTATATTGGTAGTATGTTTCGTGCCTGCACCAAATAATAACAAATTAGAAGGAAAAAAAGATGACATAAAATACAGATTTCAGTATTCTGAGGCTCTGAGCCATTTCTTTTCCTCACTGACGGCAAAAAAACTCAGACATTGTACAATTTAAAATAAAAGGGATAGAGTTAGGCTTAGGGTAAGATATTGAGTAAGAACATGTTTTTATGAACCACACAGCTTCTGGTCTTCCAAGACCCGACCGGACAAAAAGACGTGTTGCAGCCACGAAACATACTACCAATAGAAATACATTGCATTTAAAATCATTCTGTGTGACACAAAAAAAAGGTGAAAATCGTGTTGGTGAACACGAATCAATAGATTAAATTAATTTCGTGACTAATAACACGAAATGCCGTGAGACTGGGTTGGGACGACGGGCCAAAAACGCAACTCCTAATGAATAATACATTTGCTCTGTGTCTACTGCGTGTGTTAATATGTAGCTGTTTGCTAACATGTTTGCAACTTTATAAGATGATAATATGTGAACTTAAATAATGAATGCTGATTTAATAACTCAGTGCACGGGATCAGCAGTGGCTCCTAATTTTTGACCCTCGTCAAACTGTACCCCTTGTTGCAGGAATCAGAGCAGATTGTTGCGTTTTCCACTGTGTGACTATGGCAAGACTTGGATGAGTTGCATGCACTGCGGACTTCCTGGTCTGAAAGTGCATAAAGGCTGTGCAAGTTCTTTGTTAACAACTCAAGTTAAATTAACAAATAGACAAGTAGCAAAAAACTGTTACTTTCAGCTGACTCACTGTTTGCATCTGAGTCCATGACTCTATTACTGTTTGAATACCTTTGTCAACCTGTGTACGCAAAATCTTTAACATACCAAATAAAAGGTCACAACGTCTGTTCAACTTGGACTAAAATGTTACATTTTACAGCCTTCAGCATGAAAATTCAAGTATTACATAGAATAGCCAATCTGATTACTATCTGGTTACTGTTCAATGAATTGGAATTCCTATAGCACCAGTTTGATTCTCAGCTGTTCCAGAGACTGAGAGGAGCAAATCTGTTGAAGCAGGCAGCCCGACCAATCTGCAGTGTGAGACCTCAGACCCCACAAGCCAGACCTGCTGGTGTGAGGATGGAATAAAACTCTCACGGAAATCGGGAATAAACATCGAATCAGAGGGCAATAAGAGGACACTTATCAAGTCTGCATCTTCTTCATGCTCTGGAGGTTACAGTTATAAAACTGATGATGATTCAGATTTCAACGATTTCTATGAGGAGGTTAAAGGTGATATGCTTAGCTTTTCTTAGAAAGATGTTGTCATTGCTGAGTCTACACCTTCATCACCTCTAATATCGAAAAAGGAAGCAAAACCTTATCATCGCCATCATCATCATCATCATATTCATCATAGTAGATTTGCTTCTAAGTGTCCTAATTTCATTCAACATTTATTTGCTTTTCCTATGTGCTTCACATTTAATAGCATGTCTTTTGATGAGTCTAATGGTTTGTTCAACACAACTGTGGTAACAGCTTTTCATCAGTGCACTGCTTTAATAATTAATTTCACTTTGCTTCAAAAGTGGATTAACATTCACGTGTCTGGGCTGTGAAATCCGATGGACTACTACATGCATGAGCATATAACAAATTCTACCTTCAAGCAATGACTTACTCCTTTTGTGTATTGTTTTTTTGCAGAGCCACCGGTAACGTTTGCTGAGATCCCAGAGGAGGACCTTTTCAAGAGTGTTGTGGAACAAGAACAGCTTGTTTTGTCATGTGAAGTATCAAGGGCTGGCAGTGTTGTCCAGTGGTACAAAGATGGAGCTCAAGTGCAACCATGCGACAATATCACAATGCAAGTAGAGGACACCAAAAGGAATCTGACAATACATGCAGCCCAACTGTCCGATACAGGCACATACACATGCCGTGCAGGAGACAACATTCTAATGTACAAGGTTAACATACGAGGTAATTGGTTAAAAATTGCTTAAAGGTAGGGTAGGTAAATTTGAGAAACCGGCTCGAGATCGCTAGAATTTGAAAATACACAACCGGAGAAAATCTGCCACTTCCTTACAGAGCCCCTCCTCCAACACACACGAACGCGCACATGACCAATGAGGGCACGAGATAAGTTTGTGCACAGATGGAAGGCTGACAGGCAGGTAGGCCATCCAGTTATTTTAGCCTGATTGGTCGTGCTTTTTACAGTACTACGGCTTCCACAGATGACATTTTTTTATGGATTTTTTGTCAAAGCACTTAAGATATTCATTGCTATCGGGATGTTAAGAGCATTCCATGGAATATAACAAAAAGTGTATCTCGAGCCGGTTTCTCAAACTTACCTACCCCACCTTTAAGAAAACTTCATTCTCAAAATACATAGTGGGTATCGTTTGATATTATGTTTTCTTCTTCCAAAGAACCTCCGGTAATGATTATCCACCCCAAGGAAGATGTTCACCTTGACCGTCATGTCCCCGAGGAAATTATTCTGAGCTGCGAATTGTCTCGTCCAAATGGTGTTGTCAGCTGGTACAAAGACGGACAAAAGCTGCAAGAGAGTGAGAACATCAAGCTCAAGATTGAAGGCCCTTATCGACGACTGAAGATCATTTCTAGTGGAGTAGAAGATTCTGGAGAATACGTCTGTGACACAGCCGATGCTTCAATATTCTTTCATCTTAGTATTACAGGTAAAATCCCTGATTCCACACACAGTCAATTGCACATTTCTATATATCTAGGTATCTCAGTATTGTAACAACCAAAAGCACAATGAGTTGCATGTGGTACTAAATGCAACAGTATACAGTACTTTTAATTAGGAACTTTGTGTAAGCTAACACAAAAAGTGATGGGATTACTAAAACAATTGTTTGTCCCCCGCAACTCCTGGCCAATTTCTACGTGACATGATTTGTTTGTTGGGTTATGGACTACAAAGTTAGAAAAAATTAATTGTCACATGACCAATTTTATAGTTTGAAATAAGGGTAGGAAGTTTAAGGCAATGTTTGATGATCTGATAGCACTTTTGCTTGAAGCATACCATCAATGTTATCATTGCAAAAGTTAGGGTTTATCTTTCAACCAGGATCAAAGTATGCCAAAAAGTTCTGCAAGGAATAAACATAACAACTTTGCAGATATTTTGTAGCATTCATTAAAGTAATGAGTGATGGCTAATGTTTACCGCCTCTTTCCAGAACCTCCAGTCCGGATTGTTTCCCCGAGTCAGTCTCAAATGGAACTGTGCCAACAGACCTCTGAGAGGATGGTATTGAGCTGCGAAATCTCACGGCCCAATGCAGTAGTGCGCTGGTATCGAGACGGTCTTGAAGTGGAGGAGAATGAGAACCTTATCCTCGAAGTGGATGGTGTCTACAGAAGACTTATTATACCAGAAACTACTGTCCAAGATTCTGCCGAATATGTCTGTGACACTGCAGATGACTCCATGACCTTCTTTGTGAACATAGCAGGTGAAAAAATATGTTTTCAATGTAATGCTTGGGCAGTGTTTGTTAATCCATTTCTAACACGAACATTTTCTAAATTCACAGAGGCTCCTGTTCGTTTTGTACGTCCGAGGAAGATGGCAGGTAGAGTAGACAAAGTGGTTGGGGAGACTCTGGTTCTAGACTGCGAGGTTTCAAGATCAAATGCTGAAGTCACCTGGAAGAAGAATGGGGAAGAAGTAGAAGACTCCAGAAATATCACCATCCTTGAGGATGGTGTCATGCGTCAGTTAACTGTTCACTCACTAACAATGGAAGATGCTGGCCAATATGTCTGCGATGCTAAGGATGATGTGATGGATTTCCATGTAGAAGTGCAAGGTAGGTTGTTAGCTATAAGCTATAACTCCAAAATAATAGGGAGCTCCTTATGTCCCGAAAGATGACATTCTACGGTATCTTTACGAGTAATGTGTATTGTGCACTCAAGATCCAGCCAATAGATCCCTAACCAAGACACTATGATAATAACTTCTGGGTACAAAAATATCATCTTTCAGGAGCGTCGGAGCTCTGTACTAGATAACAAATAATGATAATAATAAAAATAAAAACAGAAAAAGGTTCCATTCCAATAGAATTCTGTACTATTTTGTTTGTTTTCAGAATTGCCTGTAACAATTCTTGGAAAAACGGACACAAAAACTGAAAAGCAGTTCTTGGTATCAGATGACATTATTCTAGTGTGTGAACTATCAAGATCGAATGCCTCAGTCAGTTGGTACAAAGCTAATCAGCTAATTGATGACACCGAGCGATACTGTAGCGAAGAGCAAGGGGTTTTCCGCTCACTGGTTGTCCTTAATGCTGGACTTGAAGATTCAGGAGAGTACACCTGTGATGCAGTGGATGATAAGATGGTCTTTTATATCACTGTCAAAGGTAATCATATTATCAAGCAATGTAAATGTTAACTGTCTGTCCTTCAATCAGGATGGAAATAATGCATTGTCCTTTGTGTTCAGAGCCTCAAGTATCAATCATCGGAAACTCAGGCCACCCGGAGCATCATATGCTGGTAGAAGGAGATGACCTCATTTTAGAGTGTGAAGTGTCTCGGCCAAACGCAACCGTCCAGTGGTTATGGAATGGCGAGATGCTGAAACCAGACACTCGTATACAAATTGACAGCCATGATGTTGTACGGAAGCTTGTTCTCACTGGACTCCAGCCCTCAGACTCTGGAGAATACATTTGTGATGCCATGGATGACAAATTGACAACGATTGTTGAGGTTCAAGGTGAGATTTAAACTACTTTGGAACAGGCTTTTGATGACATTTATTAGTTTCTGTTTGATTACCTTATCGCTTCATGTTTACACATGAAATTCATGAGAAAATCTAATTTTTTCTCAGAGCTACCAGTCAAGTTTGAGAATAAAAAACCAGCTAGTAACATCACAGCCTATGAAAATGAGAGTGTTACGCTGTGTGCCACTGTGAGCCGAGAAATAACTAATGTTCGGTGGCTGAAAGATGGCCAACTATTGAACAGGGACAACATTCACATCTCCAGTGAGGGTAATACCTACAAGGTCACCATTAATCCCTTGCAGCTGTCAGATTCTGGAGAATATGTCTGTGACATTAATACAGATCAGATGCAGTTCAGTCTTTTAGTCAAAGGTAAGACTTTGGCAATCCTAAATTAAATGTGACCACTATTTCCAAGTAGCAGTAACTTGATCCTAACTGTTTCGAAGCTAACATTTTTGGATTATTGTTTTTTTATTCTACTCATCAGAAATGAAAATGACATTTACCAAACCATTGGAGAACATTGTGTCTCTGAAAGGTAGTATACTTATATTACGATGTGAGATCAGCAAGCCTAAAGGAGATGTCCAGTGGCTTAAAGATGGCCACGAGATCTCTCCAAGCCGTCGGCACACAATAAGGGCACAAGGTCGAGAGCGAAGCTTTACCATCCAGCAACTAGAGGAAGAAGATGCTGGAGAATATGCCTGTGAATCCACAGATGATAGGACCTCAGCTACTGTAAATGTACAAAGTAAGTCAATTTAAATAATAAAATAAAAGGCAAAAATAATGTATTAATAAATGTTAAATAATAAATAATGTTTAACATTGTCCATGTGCCATCTTAATATGTACAGCTCCCCGTGTTGTTGAGTTCATTGCGGAGCTTCGTAACATCACTGTCCGTGAAGGAGAAGATGCAGTATTTAAGTGTGTGGTTTCACCAGAGGACACTCGCTTGGTGTGGTGCCTAAATGGCAAGCAAGTAGCTCCAAATGAGCGCACTGTCATTTCAAGTAACGGACTATGCCACATGCTCTGCATCCACAACTGCATGGTATCAGATAGCGGCAGAGTAACAGCTGATGCAGAGGGGACAGTTTCAGAGGCAGAACTCCAAATCCAAGGTGAGTTCCATCCATTACTACCGTGACTAAATACTCATCACAGACAAACACACACATACAGTAAATACATTTGTCTTAACAAATCTCAGAAGTTACAACATTTAACAATCAATACTTTTCAATAACCTGCTATCTTTTTGGTAGTCCTGACCATGTTTTTTTTACCTATGAGCTATTATCAGCAACACTGGAGTATAAAGTATAAAAATGGAAAGTAGTAGAGTTTATATGCCTGAGTACCATTGGCACCACTTAAGTGTGTATGCAAAATAAAGGCCCATTCAGACAAGTTTCAATTGTTGAAGAGGCGCTTTTGAAGGCTAGTGCTTAGCAGCTTCTCCTGTTGGAATTCCTCTGGTAACTGAGAGGAGAGTGGCTCAGTGGTTCTGGTTTATGTGACACTGTTGGGGGCAAAGATCCTCCAAGGTGTACTCTTGCTCTATGTGCTTGAACTTGATAACTCTGCTGATTGTCTCTCTTTCTGTATTTGGTATTTTGCTTTGTCTGGGATTGACTTTAGAGTATTTTTATGAAAAATTAATAAAGAAGACATAAATATATTTAATATATTTAGAGCAACAGGTGCTGTTCACCAAGAAAATGACGCCAGTTGTCGCTGAAGAGTACAGTGAGGCAACTCTAGAGGTGGAGGTAGGTCTGGATTCGGGAGAGGTGCAGTGGATGAGGCAAGGGGTACTGATCCACCCTGGAGCCAAGAATACCCTGAAACACAAGGGCCGCAAACACAGTCTCACCATCCACAGACTTGCCATTTCTGACCGGGGCAGCTACAGCTGTGAGACCCTCCACGACCGCACGCAAGCCCAGCTCACAGTGGAACGTGAGTGTGCACGTGTTCTCACTATGCCCTCTTGTTGTTTGTTTACCGCCGTTGCCGATGACTCCACCTCTTGCACGCCCTCCAACGCTGCTTCTCGTGAAGGCAAATCCCAATTAACTGAGTAGAAGTAATTTGAGTGAGTGGGGACCGGGGTGGCACTTGTACTGCAGCATGATGGCAACTAACAGGTGATAGCCTTACAGCCCAAGCTGACTTTCAGACAAGATTTTCTTTATTGACAAAGATCAATCAGGCCCTGATGATTTAATTAGCAATGTCAACGGATAATCAGATTAGTTTTAAGGGAAGTGCTTTATAATTAACTTAAGATGCCACTACTACTAGAATAACATTTTGCAACCATAATAAAATGTTCCTATGAACCAACAAGACTTACATTTATTGAAATAGCAATCTTGCCACACCATAAAATCGGCATCTTGTAGTGACATAAGCTTGTTTTTCTTTTTACATGATTCTTATATTTCTTAGCCCTATGATTCAAAGGCCGTGGGTGAATTAAAGGCTGTTCTTTCAACACTACTGTGGGTGGGACAGGGAAAGTTAGGACTTCAGGCTGCTGTTGGCACCTCCTATGAATTTGGATCTCCTCCGATTGCGTCTAAATTTACACTCTGGCCTTCAAAACTAAGGTTGCTGTCATCAGGTCTCCAAAATAAACACTCCTTTTTTTCCACAGGGAATGTGCGTCTGTTAGAATAAGTGAAAAATGTTGGCAGTTTCAAAGCGGGCTTTTGTGTAAAGCCCCATACTCAAATGACTAAACTATTGGCTTGTCGATGTGTGCCAGCTTGTATTGTTTAACTGCAGACTGATGTGTTCAGAACAGACTCCAAGCCTATACTGTAACATAAAAAGGGACACCATGGTCTATCTCAGTGTTAAAGTGGAATGCAAACGCTTCTGACTAAGGTCAATCTATTAAACATAACATTTGTTTAACTATAATTTTCTTACAATGGACAGTGACAATGCACACTAAGAAGCTGCACTTGTTGGGAGTATTGTGCCGCCTTTTTACACAGGTCTGCAATGTTCTTTACAGCTCGAAGGATCACAATCAAGAGAGGGCTGACCGACATTAAAACAACAGAGAGAGAAACTGCCTCTTTTGAGGTGGAGCTCTCTCATTCCAATGTACCCGGCACCTGGATGAGAAACGCAATCAAGCTTAAGCCGACAAATCACTATCGTATGAGTGCCAAAGGACAAGTCCACAGCCTCACCATCTATAACCTGTCAGTAGAAGACACCGGCAGCTTTACATTCTCTGTGGAGAATTTGAAGACGACTGCAAGGCTTGTTGTGAAGGGTGAGACATTTAAGAGGTTTTGCCAATTATTTAACACAGTTGTCTGATAATCCACAGTAAAATAAGGGCGTTCTGGAGGAAATGTACTTTTAACAAGGCGTCTACTTTTGTACATTTTCAACGCACAAAACCAGAGTACACTAGACTGCAGTATTACCAAAACAAATGTTACTGTAAATGTGTGTTGTGACTTCAGACTGGTAGCTAAAGTGGTCCTCTCACAGTAGACCAGATGCCAACCAGTTGAGGCATGATAATAGAATAGAGCGACGGCTCCACTTCTGTTGGCTTTATCCGGGCTCACGTTACAAACACAAAGTAGTCTACCCTGACCCAGTGACAAGCGGTAGCTCTGTTCACTCTTATCTGTCAGGGGCTAGTTTAACCTCATGCTGTAAAATAATCCGCTTCATGCCGAGTCACTCAGGATGCATCATCCCTTTGAGCTACAGCGATGACAATTGGATGAAAATCTCATCACGGTAAATGATTCCACATAACTGAACCGTATTTCTTCTTTGAGTTGCTACACACATACTTTGTGCATTGTTTGAAGTGAAGACAATTAAGATGTTCTTTTAATTGCCTAACTTTTAATGTTTTTTGTCCACTAGAGCCCCCTGTGACCATGTTCAGAAAACTGGAAGACCAGAAATTCCCTGATGGGGCAGTAATCTCTATTGAGTGTGAACTGTCAAGACACAACATTGATGTGAAGTGGATGAAGGCAAGTGTTGCATTCTTGTTTTCTTTTCATAACTAACAACCAAATCAAAAACTATCTATGACAAAGTGTCACATTACAATGTGTTATCACCTCAAAGTAAAACAAAAAACCATAACATTATAAAAAACTTAACACACCCTCACTTTGCATAAGAAATGCTACATAATTGAAATGTAAAATGAAAGTCAGGGGCTAAAAAAAATAGGAAATCCACCTCCTTTTCGGAGATAAACATACAGCTATTTAACCATGGGTAATTTGGTTTTAACGGCATCACTCTTTCAAAATTAAAGCACTGCAATTACAATGTGGCAGCATATTGTGACAGGATAAAAATACCGCTTTATTAAAACACCTATGGTTTACAAGATGATACACCCATGTCTTACCATACTGTAGGTAATTTACACAAAGCCAAAATCATTACGAGTAGTGCATTACACTTCTAACCATCAAACAACCTAGCATTTATGTTTTTTTGACCAAATTCTTTAGGTCAATCCTGAAGTTATTGTTGTTTTTTGTTAACTTTGTGATAATCAATACAGAACAAAAAACTGAAATAATTGCATAATACTTCACCTAGATTCAGATGTTTAAAGTGATTAAATATACTTGAATTGAAATCAGTTTTTCTTTTTCTTTTTTATCCCTCCCAGAACGGGGTTGAGCTAAAGCCGGGCAAAGAATTGCGCATTTACTCAATGGGAAGGAAACGGTTTCTTCAGATCATGAAATGTCACGTCAGTGACTCTGGCATTTACACCTGCGATGCTGGAGATGCTACTACATCCTGCACTGTGGAGGTTTATGGTAAGGTTGGCCGTCTAAATACCATAAACTTCCTTTTTTCTTTCTGTGAAATGAAGGCCTTCAATTTCACAGTAGCAATCACGTGGTGGCCTTAATGGTGTAGTACTATTTAATATAAATGTACAAATAACTAACAACAGATAATTCGGGAAATATTAAAACAGCAAAAGCCCAAACTGTGGCTCAGACTATGACACATCACCATATTAACAAACACTGCACACCATTTGTATTCCTTTTACAGCACTTTGCATCAGTTGCATCGGGTTGGTCATTTATTCACAAATGACATGGTGATGCATGTCAATCATGAGCAATTCTAGCTAATGTTGTTCAGAATATTATAAATTAAACTCAACAGTAAAACACATTTTTTAATGATAAACTAACACTTAAAAATGTAAAAAAACAACTCAAAACAAGTATATTAACGACAGACAGGCAGACATTTATTTTGAAATAGGAAAAAACACAGATATAATTGAAATAATATGCATTCACTTTATCATTGCTTGTATGTTTGACTGTTAACTGTGCTTTTGTTCAATTCATTAGTTCCACATCAAGTCATAGTATTGGCTTTTAATAAGGTATGAGAAAGACTGTTGTTAAAGAGAAACTAAAGTAAAGTGAGCAACCCAGTTTAGCATTTAGTATGAGCATAATGTGAGAGAATCAGTGTGAGTTTGTGTGACATAAGCTAGCTGTGGTTCCACCACACTCCTACCAAGCAAAGTTAGCTTTGTGACAGCAACTCACATTAGCTACTAGCCTAGATATATTTACTGAATGCTAACACCTCCAAGGAAGTAGGCCCACAAGGATCAATTTGGGCTAAACAAAAAGAGAAAAGAAAGAAGAAAGTACTTACCACAGACTCACAATGCCAGATAAGCGCTGCCATCTTTGTTGTTGTTAGCCACTGTTAGCCACTTCTTTGTTACCAGGTGTTTCTTCTTTTAAATGTTAAGGACTTTATTATTTCTCCTTGCCAAATGTTATTTACATTTAGCAAACAAGTACGTTTTCTCACACCGTTTTCAGTCAATTAAAAATAAATAAGGAACCAACCACATATTTAGACTCCTGGATTGGTGAAGTGCCAGTTCACCCCAATATGGTGCACATTCATTTCAGGCTTGGTCCATCCACACAGGTGATTTCAATTCTGGCTGATTACACATATAATTAACACTCTGGGCAGGAACAAACTGACCTGGATTGACACTCTTTCTCTAATATATCTAAATTACTTTTTATAGAAAAATTGATAATATACAAGGATTATATATATATAAACAATAGAAGCACAGAGAACAGATACACATAAAATAAAATATGAGAATTAAAAAGTGAGAGCATTAAAAGAAAAAGTGATATACATGTATATATATATATATATATATATATATATGCAAAAATAGAAAGTGATTTCATTCATTTTAAGGGTGTATTATTCCAACATTCGTACCAAGCACTTATACTATAACAGTTTCCTCTCATTAGTTTTAATGAATATATTATTAGCAGTAGTAGTAGAAGGATTATGACCTACTTATAGTAGGTACTGCTATTACTATAGTAACACTATTAGTGGCTGGAGTGTTAGCAGTAAGCAAACAGATCTTTAAATAGCACATTTCATTCCAAGTGGAAGCACAATGTGCCGCACAATGTGTCAGCTACAATGGTGGTTGCAGGCGCCAACACTATGTGGATAGTGAACACAATAAAAGAGACACGTAAAACAAATCAAAACCGTTACGAAAAAAGGATCCATAACATCAAGTTGACAACCGATTATTCAAGAAAACCAGCATTACAACATAATTGCACTCAAGTTATTTAGTTGGAGTATACAACAAAACCTCAGAAACAACAATAATACATGAAGGTAGTAACATTGCATTCATACTGTAAATAATATAAATTAAAATATAATAATCCTTTTAGAAAATACAAAAGACACACATACAAACACACATACACCCACACAAAGGCCTCTTACATCATCATCATTGCTTAAAGTGGACCTATCATGCTATATTTGAATAATATAGTGTAGGACCATACCTATATAAGGCATATTTATACTTTTTTTTTTTCAAAATACCAAACAGATCATGCATTTTAGCCATGCCTCATTTCGCTCAATTTGCACTTTTTTAGCTCTGTTTTTGCAAGGGCTGATTCTGTGAGAACAGCACCATCTACAGGCCTGGCATATGTACTACAGCGTCTCCAGCGCTTTCGAACGGCAATGGCCGTGGCTGTCTCCTCCTGATTGGTGGAGTTGGTCCAATAGCCGTAGCGCCACCGTCCTGACGTCAGGACAGTGTTCAAATCTGGATCAGTTTTTATCAGATCCGTTGCAGACCCTTTTTTAGAGATTTGGGTATGGAGGAAAATAGAGAGCGTTGTGTTTTCTGACACTTGGTGAGTTCCCTGGAACACCGGGGACACATATTCATGTATAAAAGACGTACAAAAGTGCATTTTGCATGAGAGGTCCCCTTTAAGTCCTCACCTCTATGCAATGGGGTAGAGAAGGCGTAACAAGTATTTACCGTATGAGGCATATTTCTGCGTTGGAATGATAAATAAAATAACAAATATTGTTCTTATTTTCAGTTCCCCGGGTAATTTCAAGGTTATGTATTGGTCTCTTTAGTTATTTTACTTTGATATTGTGAAAAAATGCCCATTTTAACATCCTTTAATGTTTTATTCTCTGGGCAGAGCGTGAGCTGCTGATCCTGAAGCGCCTACAGGACGTGGACATCCAGGAAGACCAGAACGCCGTGTTTGTTTGTGAGATCTCAGTGGAGGACCTGCAAGGAGAATGGTACAAAAACGGGGAGAGGATTCAACCCACCAGCACCATCAAGATCCGGCAGGAAGGTCAGCATAAAAATCACAAACATGTGATGCTAATAAATACCATTAACGAAATTAACAACACTCTAAAACTGTATAATCTCAACAACAAAAAAACATTTGTAGATCCTTAAATAATATTTGGAATTTCTTATTATCTGTACTGTTATTTATCTTGACAATGTTGTTTCTGATTTTAGGGACCAAACATTTTCTTCTGATGTGTAATGTGAAAGCAGAGGACTCTGGAGAGATCAAGTTTGTCACCAGACACGTTGAATCTGTTGCCCGCCTGGAGGTGGAAGGTATCACACATATGTATTTATGAAAAATTGATATTACGGACGATTACTGTTAATATTTAACTAATACTTTACGAGGGTTGGCCAATAAACCGTGATTATTTTTAGTCCCAACTTCATGAAGTAATTGAGGTATGAGTACGCTCATTAGAATTTTCAATTTGCTTTACCCACAGTTTTGTAGATTGAATCAGGAAAACGTTTTTCTGTGGATACATACTATAAAATATGGAAGCCCGTTTCTGCCAGTAGAAAATAAACATAATGAACTTGGGGTTGTGATGAGAAAAAAATATACTTTCTTAAAATGATGAAATAAGTAGGTCATTATTTCTTATGAAAGTCCCCAAAGTTTATTTTAAGATAGGCAAGTAATTATTTGGAGGGAAGTTATCCATATTTGGAACAAGTCATATTTTTTTAAATGTTCCCTTTTTCTTTTTTAAAGGTTTATTATTTTGCGAAACAATTTTTTCAGGAAACGTTCTCCAAAATGTGGAAAAAATTGAAGTCTTCTATCAAGTTTATATTGATCAGTCTTAATATAATTGTTTCCCATTGCAGAGCTTCCGGTCAACATTGTGAAGCCTTTAGAGGATACGACCGCCCTGGAGAAGACACGTGTTCTGCTCGACTGCACCGTGTCCAACCCCAGATGTAGCATCCGCTGGTACAAAGGCAGCAACGTTATCCTGCCCTCTGAACGCTTCGAGATCTGCAGCGAGGGCTGCTACCGCAAACTGATCATGCAGCAGGTGGCGCTGGATGATGCGGGCACGTACAGTGTGCAGGTTGGAGAGTATACATGCTCTGCAAAACTCACTGTGGAGGGTAAGAAGTCCATGACCAATTTCAAGCACTGCTAAATTTAAATGTAAAGTAAGTTTATTTTTTTCCGTCTCACAGTGAAATATAATTTCACTTTAATTTGATGATATAAACACAAAGCAGTAAGGAAAGATAGGCAAACTGACTTTCAATAAATATCTTAAATACAAATGTACCAGGTGCTCTTTTTAGCAGGATATTACATGTATTACTGCTGCTCTTGTTTTATACCCAGTATCAGAGGTGGGAGAAGTACTCAGATCTTGTACTTGAGTAAAAGTAGAAGTACCAGAGTGTAGGAATACTCTGTTACTTACAAGTAAAAGTCCTGCAATCAAAATGTTACTCAGGTAAAAGTACAACATTATAAGCATTTAAATATACTTAAAGTACCAAAAGTAAAAGTAGTCATTGTGCAGATTGGTCAATTTCAGAATAATATATATGATATGTTTTGATTATAATTATTGATGGATTAAAGTGTTATCAAAGCTGGTAAAGGTGCAGCTAGTTGTTGAATTTACTCAAGGTGTAACTAAAGTCTGATTTATGTGTTGCTTAACTTTCACATCATTAATCCAAAGTACAAAGTTTAAGTACAAAGTAGCAACAAATTGAAGTACTCTAGGAAAGAACAAATACCTAAAAATGGTACTTAAGTACAGTACTTGAGTAAATGTACTTAGTTACTTTACACCACTTCCCAGTATAGGTATTATTGACAAATGCCAGCTCTTAGTGTCATAGTCCAACAACACACCCAAAGTCTGGTATAAAGACAACAGTAATGGCGCATTTCCACTACAGCGCGGTTTAAGCATGCCGTGCCGTGCCCGGCCCGTTTTTGATTGCGTTTCCACTAGGCGTAGTTCTAGCGGGTACTTTTTCCCAGTTTTCTGGCTCTCTAAAATCGAGGTTCTTTCCGGGCCAACAACCGGGCTGAGTATGCTAAACTAGTGAGAGAATCGCTGGCAACTACAACAAAATGAAAATATTTTACCGTGATTTAATTGTAATACACGTTTCAAAATGATGCCGAAGTAACAACATGCTGATACCGGTTAGTAAAAACCATGAATTAATGCTTTGACAAGTCTGCAGACAAGACGGCAGGCAAAAAACCTTTTAAAATGCGGGTTTTATGAATGGAGCTTGGCTAAGCTAACGTTGTATACAGATCTATACAGACATAAATAAACCAGAGACTGTATTCGCCATGACACAGACAGTCTGTGGTTTGTACTTGTTTAACTTTTGTCTAGTTTCTGAACAGATATGAGGAGCTGTGAGCTCTGAGGGCTAACAGCTAACGGCTGATGTTGGTTTTGTGTTTCGCATTGAAGATGACGTCACGGCTCCGCCTACACTGCGTTACTAGATACTACCCCGGTTCCTAAACTGTAATGGAAACGCAGCATAAAGTGAGCCTGACCTAACAAGGCCTAACGAGGCCTAGGCATACCGTACTAAGCCGAGCGAGGCCCTGCAGTGGAAAAGCGCCATAAGAGACCCCTCTGTTATGGTAATACAACAGAGGGAGGGGGGATCATCGAACATAAGCTCAGAGCTCCATCTCCTGGCAAAGCAAAGCTACTACATGTAATATAGCCTCATGGAATGGGACAACACAAAATGTACCCCCCTTTCCACATTGCCATTTTCATTTAACCCTTGGCTTGATTGAACTTAAAGTTACCATCATCCTTGATTTTATTTTAGATGGCTGTTTATAGTTGGTATCACCTCACATATGGAGGACTAGAGCCGCCATTGCAATAAATAGTTAAATAAATAAATAAACACATAAATAAATGCATTAAATAAGTTATTTATGAACTCAATTATTACATTATAACATTACACGGTAATATTATTTAAAATCGGATTATTAAATATAAGGCTGTTTTGGTGCATGTCTGGTCTATTTAACACTGTCGTGGCTGACTGGGTCATTTAACTTAAATAGAACAGATCCAAGTTACTAGTTCAACCAGTAATTTTTCTACTGTGAGAATTGTCAGTGTATGCTGTGAAAAAGGCTGTATATGCCTAGGTAAGACAGGACCTGTGTGTCCATACCCATACTGAACTACCCTAGTATCAAATATGCCAACAAATATGCAATATGTCCCTATACATAGTATGACAAATGCAGTGAGCCAAAGACACCAGGCTGTCTTCCTGCATCCTATCACATTTTGCAGTATGTCGCTAGCATGCTTGCCTGCCTATTCTGACCCACAATCCAATGTGCAGAAAAAAACAACAAGCAAGAAGGTCAAAGTTCAAGGCTCCAAGTTAGGTTAGGATAAGGTAATATGTCCTTATTTATGCATACTACAGGCAACAGTACATACTTACTATACTGAAAGGGCAGCAAGCAGTACATACTAAGAGTATATGTTGGCATACAGACGTACTGAATATTTCATAGTCAATCTGTATGTACTGCACATTGCATACTAAATGTAACGACTAAGTATGATTACTCCAGCAACATGTCTTTATGCATCCCATGACTGTAACGATCACAATGTAAAAGTTGCTAAATTAATATTGTTTGTCACAAAGTTCCCTCACTCAGTCACTACATTTTATATTACTCTATTGAGGGGAGTTAAAATACCCAGCAGTAATATTCGTTATAATGCTGATTTAATTATTATAACTTCCAACATTGGAAAGTCTGAAATGCCGCAATGCATTGTGGGGCGGTTGAGATTGTCTAGTAAGCGCACTTGTCATGCTTGGAAATTCTTTTTGAATGTAGTTTCCGGCATCTCATACTTTGCATTTGGAATGAACTACAAACAGAGCTTTATTTAACACCTGGTAGTAAAAGCATGTTAGTATGATATTTCAAACAGCCCCAAGTTAGTGACTTTACCATGAGAATTAAAGGGGCCCTATTACTATAATTTTCATGTTCATATTTGTATGTAATGCCTCTACTGTGAAAGGTCTCTATGCTTTAATGTTCAAAAAGCTCTTTATTTTTCTCATACTGCCTGTGCTGCAGCACCTCTTTTCACCCTCTGTGTGAAACCAGAGCCTAGTCTGCTCTGATTGGTTAGCGGGCCGGGTCTGTTGTAATTGGTCAACCGCTTAGAGTTGTTCTGCCCCTTAGCCTTTCCTGCTAAATGTATTAGAGAGTTAGCCAATAGAAGCGCGAGGGTTACATAGTGATGTCACTATGTCACGGAAGTAAACCAAAGGACTCAAATGGAGGTGTTTCAGACTGGGGGGGGGGGGGGGGGGGGGGGGGGGGGGCGTGGAACACAGAACTTTGGGGGTTTTAGCCTTTGCAGACCATCACATGCACAAAAACTTATAGAAGACACGTCAGGAAAGTAAAACCCCAAAAAGCAGAATAGAGCCCTTGTAAAGACAACCAAAAAACGGATTCTGATTTGAGATATTACCTGGGAGATATCTACCTATCACCACCACTGAGTACAATACATTCAAAAGCTTTCTGACTGACAAACTCCCCAAACTCACACTTCCCTAACCTCTTCCTCTGTGTTCTTCCTGAGCAGCCCAGCCACAGCTGCTGGTCCGAGAGCTGCAGGATGTGGAGGTGAAGACCCCCGGGGAGGCCTGCTTTGAGTGTGAGGTCTCCGTCCCCGTCCTCAAAGCTCCGCTGTGGACTCTGAACGGGGAGCCGCTGCTGCCCAGCGCTCAGGTCCTGCTGGAACAGATGGGCACGGTGCACAGGCTGACCCTCAGACACACCTCCCCCAGCATGGGGGGGGAGGTGGAGTTCACCTCCGGGAGAGCAAAGAGCAGAGCCCAGCTGCGGGCGATCAGTAAGTAAAAGAACAACCTGCTGTTGGCAATTCTCTATTGCAACAGCTTACTTGACATTCAATTGTCATAAGTCCATAAAAGACTGTTGTGAAAACTTGATTGTAAACTTAACACAAAAAGTAAGCCAATGTGTGTTTGGTAGATGATTTCTATGTTGTAACAATGCTTTTCGTGTTAAGATTTTTTTAAATCTTGTACCTTTGGAAAGCCTGTTTTCTTACCTTTTCAATGGAACCACATTTGTGAGGAACAAGCATGTGTGGGATGAGCAGCAGAGCTGAGTATGTGGGGTGCGCCCATGAAAAATGTGACAAATTTCCTCTGCCAATGCCAAACAGCTTTTTTTCTGCTGACTCTTGTTTGGTGTTGTTCGGTGGATTGGATGATTGAAGTCTGATAAATAAAGACATATTGGCAACAATTGATTTATTAACAATTGATTAATTTAACAAGCAGCCTCAGTAGCGTGTGGAAGAACCAAACACAGCCACAACAGCCTCTCCTCCTCATGCTGTCACCAGCCTGCTCACACTCTGCTGTGGGATGGCATCCCATTCTTCAACCAGCATTTGTCCCAGGTCAGCCAACGTGGTTGTGTTGGTTACTCTGACAGCAGCCCAAGTTGATCCCAAAATGGGGTTCAATGGGGTTGTGTTGGTCACTCTGGCACGGACAGCAGGGCCAAGTTGATCCCAAAATGGGGTTCAATGGGGTTGAGGTCAGGACTGCAGGGGGCCATCCCATCCTCTCCACTCCCACTCTATCGGTGCAGCAATCAGCAAAGCCTTCTCTGCGTCCTCTTCACACTGTGACCCTACAATCCAATGTTCCTCCACATGTTGAGGTTCCAGTGCTCTGAACATAATGTTCCTCCACATGTTGAGGTTCCAGTGCTCTGAACATAATGTTCCTCCTCATCCCACAAATGCTTGTTCCTCACAGATGTGGTACCATTGGAAAGGTAAGAAAACAGGCTTTCCAACGGTATAAGGTTTATTGCCAAAAAGCATTGTTACAACATAGAAATCATCTACCAAACATAAATTGCCTTACCTTTATATGTTTGAGATTTGCTTAAAGTGCTTCTGCCTTGGCCACAACGAATATTTTCCTCAGAGTCCGGCGCACTTCCTGGGGGCTTGGAGGGAACCCATGCGCAGCTTACTTCCGGGTTTTAGGACGCGTCACTGCACCTCTCTCGTCTCCTCTTCACACACTACACTTTTCGCGGCACACGTACTTACAGCCAATCAGCTCTGAATTATGTGAGATGACGATTCACTTACATGGGGAAAGAGACGTCTGTAAATCGTTGGATAATTTTTTTTAAACTAAATATACTACCCAGTATGAACATTTGTATAGCCCTTATTAAAAACATTCGGTCCTCAAGTTGTAAAATGTGCTAATAACGTTATTCTGAGAGTTATTTTCCTCTGCATTATGAACGCGGATCTAACCCACAGGACCGCGCCGCCCGGCACGTTCATGTAACGTGTTCAGTACTACATGAGTTTTACCTTTACCCATGGATGCACAATAAGAACGGATTATATGATTATATGAATACTTTCTTGACGTTTCGCTCTCTCAAAAGTTGGGCCATTTTGTCTTCATGCGCCAATGAGCAACTCTCATAGGAATGAACGAGGCCCCGCCTCCCACGCTGTATCCAGTTCTTATTATACATCCATGATGTCAGCACAGTGCCCCTATGGTGATTATTTTTTTGCTGCACACATTGAATAGAAAAAGACTCTGAGCATGCGCAGTGTAGTTTTTACAGCACCCATTCACTTAGACAGTGAGAGAGAGGGGCTTGATCGGGGCTTCACCCACGTCGCTCAAAACGGCTCAATAGGCACACACTGTAGACACTAATTAGAAGAACACAGACTAAAACAGCAATGTACAGACGAATCAGATGATTAAACATGATCGTAAAATATATTTTAAGATGTATTTTTTTTACATTTCTTTGTAATTATTATTTTAATACTTTCTGCTGACACTAGGTCAGCAGAAAGTGCCCCACACTGTTTCTTCAACCTGATGAAAAAACATGTTGATTAGAAATTGAACTTAATTGTGTATATGGAAGCTAATCAAAGTGTTTTTCCATGCATTAAAGCATATTTCAGAATATAACTTTTCAGCAACTGTTTCTCGAGGAGAAATAGCTTTGCCATAACTCTAACATATAATCATTGTAGAAGAAGAGCAAGTTTTTCTTTTTGAATTGGGGCTGAAGGCTGCAAGATTTAAGAAGGACAACATCTGGGTGTGTTGAGAGAGCCCCCTCCTCAACTTTGCTTGAGGCTAGCAGCGAGACTAACTTTCTGGTACCAGCAGAACACACCTGAATCTCCAACGTAACTCTCTGGAGTTGTTGTGAGTGATCGGGTTGGGACACTGGTCATTAGAAATGAATAGGAAAACATATTGTATCCATGTCACGTCTTGAGAGGGTTATTTGTGAATACACTACGTTTTGCCCTACGACCAACGTAGCTATAACACGTTTTTTTGTGAGACTGGGTTGGTGATCTCGACACCGGGTTTTGAGGTTGGGTTTTTCAGCATGTGATTCTGCTGCTGATTTAGATTTGGTCCCCTAGCTCCTCTGGAAACACCAACCATAATTGTTGTTTGTAGCTATTATACCTTTTGGGGACGGGATATTTATACGCAGTCTTCTTGAAGTCTTGCAACTCCAACAGCCTAATACTGTTGAATATGTGCAAAGGAGATGTGTTCTGCTCAATGTGTTCAATAACTAGATTGTACTGAGTGGCTATGTGTGTCACCAAGTCATTCTTTTTGCGGGATTACGTGATCAAAGCTGATTCCAGTATGCTCCCACACAGCAGCAGCAGCAGAGGGTTTGGTTTATAACATTACCTTTTATAGAAAACGACTTTTTGAGCATGGAAGTATGGAACTCTATTCCATGCATATACTTTAGGTTTGGCAATTGTATTGGCTGGATACAGTAGACCTGCATGAGACAAGTACATTTGAGCCGTGCACGTTCAAAACCGTCTAAAGTACATCTCTAAATAGGAGTGCAATTACACTGAAAATAAACTGAAATGTTGACTTAAATAAATGTATTATGTAAAATGACACATATTTGTATTAGGTTCGTTGAAAGCAATAATATTAAGTTTAAATAATAGGTTTACTACTGCTTTCCTAACTAACCTATTCAAATGATGTGGAACCTGTTGACATAATACATTTAATTAAAGTAAATGTGTATTGTTTTCAGTGTAGCATCTGTGCATTGGTGGAAAAAGTGTTTCAATCTTGAATTAAGTCAAATAAGCAATTCCAAACCAAAGTACATACCATAATGTACATCACAATGTCAGAGCTGTCAGTAGTAATATGCTACTGTCATTGATTCAATACCAACGATTGAAGTCAGACCCAAACCATGAATAGACACAAAGGTTTGCCAGCAGCATACTGCGAAATGCGATCGAGGGCCGTAGGACATTTTGGGACACTGCATTGGACATATGTATTGGGACATGCTGAATATTTATCTGGCATAATGAATATTTTGGTTGTGTGGGTATTGGAATGTACAGCATGCACCTAACATTTTAAAATGATAAAATGTCACAAAATTCGGTAATAACACCCTACTTTTTCATAGTAGTAATACTCAAGTAAGACTAACGTTACTAAAGAGGAAAGTGATTCTGTTGAAAATGGGAGGTTATGTTAAAATGCAAATAAAATAAAGAACACTTTTAGCGGTGTTCCAATAATATATGGGCCATTCTGCATAATGAGTATTAATTATTTCACTTGTTTCATCTGTTAAAGTACATTTTGATGCCATTACCTTTTTAACTTTAATTCGGTAAAACATGTAAACATGTGTCTTGTAACAGATCTTTGGAGTAAAAGTAGAAGTACCAGAGTGTAAGAATACTCTGTTACAAGTGAAAGTCCTGCATTCAAAAGGTTACTCAAGTAAAAGTACAAAAGTATTAGCATCTAAATATATACTTAAAGAACCAAAAGTAAAAGTAGTCATTGTGCAGATTTAGCACAATACTTGAGTAAATATACTTAGTTACTTCACACCTCTGCCTAAGTACCAAGTCTGAATTCTGTCCAGCACTGATGCCATTCAAACAACAACCACTAGATGGAGCTAGTGACAAAGACTTGAGTTTGCTGTTTGCCTGCAGACACATCACAAGCAGTAAAAAAAAAATTAAAAAAACCCCATCACAAGCAGTGCACGCGCATCACTGCGGGTTATTACACATAATGTCTGTTATATCTTTCCACGAGGCCCATGTCTATAATGAATTATAAACATACTATGCATTATATTATGCTCTTCAATCACTTTATAACCATACAGGAAACAATTCGTTTTCTTGAGATAGCATTACATTATTGAAATGTAAATGTCCATTGTAATGTTTTTGATAATCAAAATTAAATTAATAATCCATTAAAGTTAAATGAGTGTACTCAGTGAAATAAATAAATTAGTTTGTTGGGAGTTGTTCATGCATAGATTAATTGTATTATCATTTACCAAATGACTTACTTAAAGCACACAATGACCACCAAGAGTAACTTGTGCATTCATTTTGCATTATAATTACTATCACAGTGCTTTTTAGTGTTATAAGTTACTCTCTGTGTTCATTTCTTTGTAAAAATACAAATGAAACACAATTGAATCTATTCAAGAACAACAATAAATAAAAGGTACAATTATTGTTTTTGTTCATCTGGCCTAAAATAAATTGGGGACTCCAACTTGACACAACTCAGAGTATGTTAGTAAAAGGCAGCGGTGAGCTTAGCAACAATTAACTGTGTTGCATTATGGGTAATGTAGGCAATCGGGGGACCCCTTTATGTTATGAATCACTTTAACTAACCAGTGCTACAAGACGATTACAAAGCATCATTTAGTATGTTTATAATATTATGTTTTTAGATATTAGTGTTGCGGAAAGTGAAACCAAATGCTAAACTCTTCAAATAAAACGCTATATCTGCATTCGAAGCACCAAAAAAAAAAGAATCCACCATAAATCCATCAGACTGATTTGAAAGTGTCAGGGTGGCTTGTTAAAGTGTGTTGCATGACTTGGCACTGCACATGCACTAATAAATGTGTTGGCTCCTAGAGTTCTGTAAATAATATAGGGTGTTTATGGTCCTACTGAATGTGCAGGCATGCAGGTCACAGAGCGCATCCCAGAAACGTCTCCAGATATTAAAAGTGGAGGACAGTCAACTATTTTTAGTTTTATAATGTTGGCTTTTAATGAAAGAGTATCATGTTCCACCATCTGGCTTAGCTTGTAAACCTGTTGTGTAGCAGGACTCACGCTCAGGAAATTCAAAATAAATTAAAACCTCTTAAAGAGGCCTTATTATGCTTTTTGGGGGTTTTCCCTTTCCTGTGGGCTGTTATGTTTTAGTGCATGTAAATGGTCTGCAAAGGCCAAAATCCCTCCGGGCGTTTCTCTCCCAAAAACACTTGCGCTTCTATTGTCTAGACCTCCAACACATTGTATGTGATAGGAGGCAGGACATTTCTCAGCGGTTGACCAATCACAACAGAGCAAACCAGTTAACCAATCAGAGCAGACTGTGCTCTGGTTTCAGACAGAGGGTGAAAATGAGTGCTGCAGCACAGGCAGTATGAGAGGCGTGTGGCGCAGTGGACTAGTGCGTTGGTGACCCCACTGCAGTCAGCATGTGGTTGTGTCCCTGAGACACTTCACCCCAAATTGCTCCTGTGGGGATTGCCCACAGTATTGAGTATGTAAGTAGCTTTGGATAAAAGCGTCTAACAAGTGACATGTAATGAGAGTAGGGACATTTTTAACTAGATTTTACTCTGAAACTTTCCAATTAAATAACTTACATTGACATAATTTTTTTGTATAACATGTTTCAGAGAAGCTATGTTTAAATATGCAAATGTGATAATTTAGATAAAACCGGTTTAAGTTTCAATTTGATGACATAATACATTCGGATATGTCTTTGTATCATTCCAAAAAACAATCGTAAACGTAAACAGCCATAAATTAAAAAAATTACATGTTTTTAAGAATAACATGTAATATAAATGGTACTATAAAGGTTGTTGACCTAGGTGAATAGAGTAAAAACCCACACATTCTTTATTTTTGTATTCCACATTTTGTGAAATATTATGCTTAATATGCAGATGAGGCATTATGTTATGCTTTTTTATTTATTTTATTTTATTGTCGTTACGTAGTACATCCTAGTGTTAGGAGCAGTGGGCTGCCATTATGAACGGCGCACGGGGAGCAGTGTAGGGAACGGTGCCTTGCTCAGGGACACCTCGGTAGCACTTGGTCTTGCCGGGACATGAACTGGTGACCTTCCAAAAAAGTGATTCTAATAATCGGGATTACGTAAAAAAATCCAGTTTTTAATAAATAATTTGTAAAGGTATGAGGTGAATTCAAAGAAATGAGGTGAAAAGTTCTCTGCTCCTCAGTCTAACATTTTTCTCTTCTTACATTTCCCAGGTGAGCCATGAGTGACTTCTTCTATCTTTCATCACTTTATTGACATGGACTGAATATTATGAAAGGCTTTTAACGTTGTAACATTGACATTTACTTATATATTTAACAACAGTATGTCTATAAAAGTGGTTTAAACAGGGTTGTGATGGATTTTCATGTGTCGTCGTTCTGACATTCTTTGTTCATATAAAACTCGTCATAGTAAAGTGTGTGAATGCATTTGAAGCAGTACCGTTATCATAATAGAAAGTTTGGATGTAAATATTGTCCCATGTTATAGAGGTTTCATCTGTGTTGTTTTGCTGAAAAATATATCATTTTAATATATATATTGTTAGAATAAATGGAAGGATGGATATTCTAAGTGAAGAGTTCTAGATAGTTTTTATTAAATATCGAAAATTGTAGAATTACACGCTTAATGTGCATGTGGTCCTTGAATTTGAAGATATTTACAATTTTTGAATTCACTTTTTTTGTTCCAGACGCCATTTTGGTCTATTTAGAACCTTAGTTTATTATAAAATATATTCTGATCTGCACTCAGTGTGTACCAGATTATATTTCAATGGTGTTGTGTGGCTGTTTTGACAGTGACCTAGATTTGAAGTCTTCAGTATTAGAACAAAGAAAAGAAAAAGTGAGTATATTACAGCCATGTATTCATATCATCATCATATCATCAGAATACGGAAGAGGATTAGGGCCACATGTTTAAACCATTTTGAAATATGACAAAAAGTCCACATTTTCTTTGAGTTCTGAGATTTAAGTCTGAGTTCTGACCTTGATCCCAGAATTCTCACGTTTTACTCAGAATTCTCACATTTCACTCAATTCAATTTTTTTTTAAACTTTTTGTGAGATATAAAAAAAAATGTCATGTTGTCCTAATCCTCTCCCATAGGATCGATTAAATACAAAATATCTTTCATCGTTTATACATTGTATAGAAATCGTTTTTTAATGTTTTGATGAAAAGTTTGAATGAAGAGAATTATGTCTTGCAGCAAAGGGCTTGTAATGTAAATACATTGGGCCAAAAATCAGGTGATTTAGAAGAGAAATAGATAAGAAAATTACTTGATAACCTTGATTGATAATCAGGGAATGCTAGTTTTATTATGGAGTGGGTATAATATTTCAACTTAGCCGAGAATGATAGTTTTCATATAAAACGTGTTCCATATTCCATTTGCCTTGTTTCCACCTCCGCCATGTTGTGTTTGGGATGTGAAAAAAAAAAACTACTGTAGTGAAATATGACATGTTTCAATAAAACATGCTTTATTGATGCAAGGTAAAAATATCTCTACTTGTCCTTTTTTGTCAATCCTAACAACGATCAGCAGCAATTTCAAAACTCTCCTTTACTCGAGTCACAACGTTAATACTCTTGTTGCATACAGTAACAAAGTTAAATCATTATTTAAAGGCAGGTTATGTTTTTTTTCATGTCAAATCATCTTTTTTTTGTGTAAATCTTAAACCAATGTAAATACTCACACTGACGCAGCCACACTAAAATCCACACACACTCGCTCCAGACTGAGGGAAAGTAAATCAGGACAGATCCAACATGTCCGACACAAGTTTCCATCTGAAACTGTATTTATAGCTCGATAAGGCTAAAATCCTAACTGCACATATTGGATTGCATTGTTGATGGGCCGCACACTGAGGAGGTGTATTCCAAAAACTTGAACAAAATAATATAACATTAGGTAAAATAACCTTAAAAACTAATCAAAATGATTGCCTAAAATCCAGATATTTGCACTTTATATACAAAAATAATATCACCATTTTGGGAGTGGGGAGCTTTCCATGGCTTTCCAGAACTTTCCAAAAATCTGCTTTTTTCTGTATGATGCTCAAGACAACATATCAAAGGGTTAATACACATTAATAATTAGATGCCAGTAATATAAGAATTGACTAAATAAACCTTATCAGTCATGTAACATGTAGTGGCTATGGATTCCATTTCTTCACCATTTAAAGGCAAACGCTGTAGTATATTTTTTGAGAAAGATTCTAAATGAAAACTATGACTGTGTGTTAAGGCCACTATAAGTGAATAAATAAATAATACAATAGTACAGAGCTGGGGGGAGGGGTTATATTCAGAGATAAAACTCCGTCATTTTAGATTCAAAACGGGTATTAAAAAAAAAAAACACAAGATTTATGAAAAAAAGCACTTGAGGATTCTCTGAGATTATTGAGTCATAAAGGTTTTTTTTGTCAACAACGCTTCAATTTGCAACGTTGGACCAACATTATCACACCACATACATACAGGAAGTGCAAAGTATTTAAAGCACATTTAAAAACTTGTTATGTAGTGAAATGTGCCACAACATTTTATAGAAATTACCAAGAATCCCTAAAATTAACGATTGTCTTTTACTACATACAAATTCGGCCTATTAGGCAGAAGAAAAAAGGAAGTTATTGGGGTTTAAGCAACAGTCTTCAAGGACTTATTTGAAATACTATTAGATGCGATACTGAAATGAAAAGGATGGTTGGTTTGTAGAATGGCACTGAACAACTGCTCACAAAATCTACCGCACACATGTCGCTGCTGTCACATCACGACAACAGCAACACACTAGCTGCACTGCAAAATACACCTACACAAGTCATTCAACCTCATACTCTTTATCACAGAAAAAGGAAGGAACCTTTGGATTAGCGTACTTTCAATACAGAAGTATCAAAGCCCTGCTGGAAGATTGCCTTCACTTTTTTTATGCGATATACTGTAAGAATACGGGATTAAATGAGGCGTTTTTTGCAGTGTGGTCCTTGTAGTTGGAAGCAGCGTAGAGCCGGTGGCCCCCCAGCCTCCGTGGCCCCTGATAATATTTATCCTATTGTCCTGCCTCTGTTAACTGGAAGCACTCTGCGGCTGGAGGACTTCGTAGACGTCTTCCACTTTGCTAAGTCTCTCAAAGAAGGGGATCAGATCGAGGAGCTCGGTGTCTGACATGTCGTCAAACCAGGACACGACGGGAACCTGGAGGATGAAAAAGGTAGGGTATTGAGGAATTAAAACACCTTTTTAAATATCACATATTCCAAAAGTATAGTATTTAAGTTAATCGTACATTATTGCTGTAGTTAAGTAATCATTAACTCACAAAATGATCATTTGAATATCAGTTACTCACCGAAGGTGTTAAGTAATTATTTGAGCTATGTGCTATCTTTTAGTATATGTATATATTAATAGTGGTGTCAATTGTTTAAAAAATGTAATCACAATAATAATAATCTGTGATTAATCATGATTAATCACAAGTTTAAAATACTAGTATGTCTTGTATAATGGGGGAGTTATAACATACGTATGAAGAAATGCATGACAAACTGGTGAGAGGAATCAGACTTGATTTCTGAATCATTGGCATGAAGTTTGATTGAGAAAACGATTACCGACACTTCGCTAAAGCATCAACAAAGCCACTGTCACTGAGAGCCGCTGTGATCACCCTCTGTATAACGTGTGCTAAACAGAGAATAATATGTATATATATATATATATATATATATATATATCTCCTTTTTTTCAGAGCATATTATATCAACCGCTTTCATGCTGCTAGCACTATCTGTTCCTAGAGTGGTGTCGTGTGAGGCCTCACACGGGGCACCAACCTGCCACGGTTCCCTGTCTGCTAGTCTAATTATTAACAATGATTAATGATAATAAATATAAATTAAACTATAAATATTCAAAAAATCATATAGTAGTAGTAGTAGTAAAGCTCAAACAGTTGTGTGAGCTTTTGTAAATGGTTGTTGTAATATATTTTTGCTTTTGTTAAACGCAGCCCCCATTTTCTTAAATTGATCAACATTTCTTGTGTAAAACTTTCTTAAAGAATTGAGTGAACTTGTGGTGAGTAATTGATATACAAATGGTCATTTTCCCCAAAACAATTTAGTGAACAACAAATAGGTATAGCGTAATATAGAGAAATAAATCAAAATAGCATACTGCGTTGTCGGGATGGAAGACGTAGGAGGCGGGGGAGTTATCGATGATGATGACCTTGTTGAGGTCTCTCCCTATACGGCTGAGGTCCTTCACGTAGTTCCCTTTGTGGAACACACAGGACTCCCGGAACAGACGGTACCTGAACGCCCCCCACTTATCCAGCAGGTCCGACACAGGGTCCGCGTACTGCAGCAGCAGGGCAGAATCAGGGGTGAGACATGGTGCTATGCATTTCTATGGCTATCGAGCAACTATATATGGGTATGGGTATATGTTGGTCATTTAAAAACACAAACTAAAGAATATTAAACTTAATCGCAGAAACTAAGTTAGAATAAAGTCCAAACTTATTGCTGTTTACGATATTATCCTGACAATCTTAAAAAATATCCTTCAATTCGTTAAAAGGCACTGACCCATACTGGAATCATTTCATTGCATCACAAATAAGAGAAACATATTTTTTGTGAAAGCAAATTATCTTAAATAAGGATATCATGACAATATATTAAAATGGTTACAGTCCCCTTGCATATATAAAGGACAACTAAATAAATCAAACATAGAATCAGTGTCAGTTTTTTTCTTCAATTATGCTGAATCATTCCCGTCTCTCCACATCTGCAAGTCACTCCTTAGTGGTTTTCACGATTATCAAGGAACTTGCGAGTGATTTCTATTCCCAGTCTGCGATTAAATGATTTACTCTCCAATCCCTAGCTGTAAATCCTCACAAGGTAACAAACTAAACAACACTTAATTACTTACTAAAAGTTAAAGTTGCATTAGCTGTTTTTTGCCACTTGGGGGCAACAAAATAAAGTTATTAACATATCATTAAAATATTAGTCAATATGTAACAACTTAAAATGTGTACTTTATTAGCAATCAAATCCCTTTTTAGAAGATAAACACACAGCTACATTAGCAACTATTTAGAGTTGTGTTTGTTTGGTCCTGAACTACATTTAATGCTTATTTAAAAAAAAAAAAGGTATTATAAAAAGCTTTAAGCTTTAATGAATATATATTATGAATTTGAGCTTTAAGTTCCATTTTGGCCTCCACCCCCTCCAGAGGGAATAATATCTCTCGACTTCGTTCATCAGCTAGTCGCTAAATGAGTTTGTTGTTATGATGCAGTCTGTTTGTGCCGTAGACAAACAGCAACTAAAACATAGTTATTCAAGTGTGGGTGAGTCATAAACGAGCGGATACCTGAACAGTTAAGTTAAGGTGAACACAGAAGTAAATGTGAGAGGTCAAAATGTCTGACAGGTATCATAAATAGAGTTGTATATGTGAGGGGGAAGTCTGAGGTTGCAGTCTGAGACACGGACACGGTGCTGGGCTTCCAGTAATTCTCCAACAGGTGTCAAGTGTGATTGTGTCAATCTGCCAACTGCCAACCTCTTTATAATGGGTCACATTTGACCAATGCGTTACACCGAATAGGAACAGGAGGCTGACCTTGGATAAGCTTGCAGTGAACAAGACGCACTCGAACAATTCTCCCATCCTCTTGAGGAATTCGTCAACATGGGGTCTCTTTAACACATACACCTGGGGGAGGAACACAAAGGTATAAGAGAATACAAATCAAAAGTTGAGGCACATTTGAAGCGCATGATCAGGAACACAAACTACTCATTGGGAAAAATATAGAAGTATAAGAAATGGTCCTTCTGAACAGATGTTCTGAAGACACATTTTGTCACATGGCAGGTTATTGAAACATGACAGAGAAATCTATCTTCCTGACCAAATGTAGGCTTTTTTATATTATATTTAATATATGTATAACAGTCTCCAAAAAATGAAGTTCTGTCATCGTATTGGTTGACATGGACTAATCTACATTTGATGGTGTTACCCAGTGTGAGCATTCATTTCCTCTACGATAAATGGGATCATTTGGATGTTTTGAAGTGGGGTTACTTATACAAAGTACCATGTTAATTGTAACTAATTTTAGCCAACTAAAATAAAGACCCACCTAAACAAATCAATGTTTGTTGAGGTTTACGCTACACGCTACAAAATATGTTCACTGCTGTACTTTGCTGTGAGAATGTCTATGTTCAAGAACTGAAGCAGCTCTCTTCTAACAGACTCCTTTGAAAAAAATACTTATTTTATTTGCAAAACCTGAAAGTTGCAGATTTACCTTTGCATCAAGTGGTTAGTTTGTGTTATTGTGTGACTTCAAACAAACCAAATATCACACAATAACCCGAAAAAAACCTTAAGTGGTTCAAATATTCGAAATAAAAGCCTTTTATAATGGGTTTCTGTTGCACTATACGATACTATACTCTGGTATTTCCTTTAAACTCGGGACGTGCTGACCATTATCTTCTCAAGGTAATACATACATGATTGATCAAATCTGCATAAAACCCCACTTCAAACAATTTAAAGGTTCCATTTTAATTTCTGTTTGTATCTTGATAATGCTACAGTGACATTAAATACATCCAAACTTAAAGCTGTCATATATTTAATCCAAGGACACTTCATGTAAACACCTTGGCAGGAATTTCTATTTACTTCCACTAAGACGCCGGCGGCCTTGTTTCTGAACCAAGTCATCCCGTATAGGCTTTCCCCACTTTAACAAGCCTATCCTGGATTACTTGAAACAGACCCAGGCCCTCTGGACCACAAAGCTCATCTGTCTTCCTGGAGGCCGAGCACAACAGATCGCGGTTACCATCCAACGGCTGCTGGAGTTAGTCACTCCCATTCCCCAGTGCCAATGAGCAGGACATAATATGTGAGTGAGATTGATGGCCAGCAGTTTCTGAGAAGCCTGCCAAGGTTTCCTCATTTCGTCAGGCCACGTAAATAGCCACCTGCTGTTTGGAGCCATCAACAGGGCGGGCTGCAGCACTGTCAGGGAGCTAGCAAGCAAACCATGGAAGATTTTGTAATTTTCCGCCCTTAGTGTTGAATTTAACAGTTCATGAAGCGTCTTGCTAATCAGGTCCGATCAGTGTAAAGCACATGTTTTGTTTAACTGTGTGTGTTATGTAGAGTAAAATGATGGACAATGCATTTGAAATGGTGATCTGTTTAAATTCTGCATTGGCTGCTTGGTGCTTTGACATTGTGATGATGGGATTGAAGCAACTGCACATTTAGTGCTTACCTGGTGAACTGTTCCATCAATTTCCACTGGAATTATAAAATCAGCATTGTTCACTGGCTGTTGAAAGAAAAAGTAAACGTGTTAAACACACATCCAATCATATTGTTGTGATCTACCCAAAAATGATCAAACGTTCCCATTTGAGTTTTAGAAACAAATCTAAAGTGGGGGTGATATGTCCAATAGACACAAAGGTGCCACCTCAGCATCTTCTAAATAACACAATACTGTAAATAATATGACTTCCATAGTTGAAATATGGCGGCAGCAGAAAGTGACAAGGGTAATAACATATCTGATTTATTTAGGCAGTTCTCACATGGGAAATATGCTTCTCAAATGTTAGTATCACCCCAAGCAGGTTCTATATAAGGCATTACACCATGGCCGACATTGGTATACTATGAGGTAATGCAAGTAAGACGGAATCGGTTTAACATCAATCATGAACAGAAAGTGTGAGTGTGCATTTAGGGTTTATCAGCATTATTTTTAGAATCTTGACTTCCCAAAAATGTACTGTGCAGGGTGTGGTACACGGTGAATACAGGAACAAACAAAGAAATGTTTTCCCTAAACTATTGATTAAATTACTGATTTACCGTGTGTGAAAGGATTTATAAATATATACACTATATATATTTATCCTCTTTAAATGAGGGTAAATATGGAAGTATCGATCTACGGATGGGTATATGAATTGGTGGTTGATGTCGAGTATTTAACATTTTATTTTATCCTAATACATTTGTCTTCCGTGTCTAAAATAAAATGGATTAGATATGATAAAATGCTTGATGCATTTGCTGATCTCCCTTAATATCAACATATTCAGAAACACATAAATACAAAGTAATAATATTAATAATAATAATCGTATTAATATGCACAGTATTTTTGACTGATGCACATTTTGCAGTGCCATCAGTACAAATGCTCATCCAGTATTCAAAGCGGTTTAGTTCTGGTTTGACCGGCCAACTCTGGCTCTCCTTGCTTCACTTGTAACCTGCAGCCCAGGTTCTCTATCTCCTTCTGTTCACAATGAGCAACAAAGTGTGTATTGTGGGCTGTACGACCACTATTTATTTGCCTGTTGTTCATTTTTGTTCACTACTTCCACAATCATCTTCAGACAAATCCTTTAGATCTGGGTTTAATACAGTCAAATAAGATGATAGCACCATTGTGGAAAATGTAAATATTAAGCATTGGTATAATGTATTTTCTTAGAAAAAAATGTTTTACTGAGAGAAAAATACAATTTGGAGACGATAGATATGCTCTTTGGTATGGTGGGATGAAGTTGGTAGCTAATGAATATTAGCTTTGGGAGTAACATAAAGTATTTATATGGATACACTTTTTTTTGTATTATATTACATTTCATGTTTTCCTTTGTCTCCTGTATGGTTATATCTTAAAATACTATAGTGCAATAAATATATATATTCTATTACATTCTCCTATCCTATGCATCTGTCCTCTACTCGTCATTGATTTGAGCAATTAGGATCTTTATTCTATTAACAAAAGTTCAGAACAAAAGCAAATATAAATCAATTATTTGTTTGAATGTCAAGCCGCTTGCTATTACACTACATCCTAATGAATACATTTTGATTTAGAATTTTTTATCATCATGATAAAATGCTCAAATTAGAAAAAATGTAGTGCAATGTACTGTATTTTTTGTATTTATTTTTGGGTTACATTTATGACTTTTACAGTAGAAATAGAACATCTGGTAAAGTACTTATATTGGTTATGTGACTAACAGCTTTGTGTGGCTTCTTATAGAAAATGATTTATGTACTAAACCAACCCAAAACAGGTAATCTTATTACTCTAGGAAGGTTTGAAAAAGTTGTTTAAAAGTGATATTAATACTTGAATACTCTGCGGTTGTACACCAATAAACTACATTTTTATCTGTGTGTTAGTTTTATTTCATCCTGTTCTTCAATTAATATAATATTCAATATTCAATTGCATATGAAAAGCTTTAAAAAACGAGTTCACAGCACAATGGCTTTTCTCTGCCTTTCACCTACCACCTACTTCAAAGCCGTGTTACCTAAGGCTATTTTTAGTATGTGTGTCAAAGTAAAAGTGAGTTTTATTATCCACCTTGTGTTAAACATGGAGTTCACAGAGTCTGGCCCTGTTTACACATAGCAAGTGGCAATATCCAGTGACAGCCTTTAGGACAGTCTGTGACCTGAGAAGGACTAAACACCACATGGCATACATTACATAATTTGTCGTGACACAGGAGCCTTGACTTCTGGCATTGACTACTTTGTTCACTAAATGCTACCTTAAAAGGTATCAAACTGATCAAAAGACAACAGGTTATTTGTAGAAACAATGTTACATTTGATATTCATAAGAAAGTATTTCACAGTATATTGATACGGAGAATAAATAAAGGTGTGTAGTGTACCATATTGCTGATCCTTTTTTTATTGACAGTATTCAGTTACATTGCAGTTAACAGTTAAATATGAAACTTTGATTTGAATAACGTTTTTAACGTCTTACTTGGGTTTTAGGGTGCAGGTAGGTTTTGCTTCGTGAAACCAGAGCACCCATAAAATAAATGGTTCATCTTTAAGTGCCACATGAGCCTGGTCCTTTACGATAAAAATAAATCATGGGCATCCTAAAAATATGCAACATGATGTAGTGCAAATCCTATAGCTATTTTTGCCTTGGCAAGTAGATTGTTTATTTTAACAGTCAACATAGAAGCATAATAGCACATAGTCAATGAAAGGGTACTAGCTTTTTGATATACTTGATGACCTTTCAGTAATTAAAGGCCACAATTATTTAAAAAAGAAGGTTATAGAAGTGCTTAAAACCAAATGAAACAAGTGGGAAAAGACTAGATGCTCACTAATTTAGATGGTCATTTAGATTTTGTTTGTTTGTTTTTTAATCTTAGTCCTGTGTCAAATGTCTGTGATGTGTTTTAAAGGAGAGGTGTCATGCTTTTCCGGTTATTACCCGTCCCCTTGTGTGTTATGAAGGTTTTTATGCATGTAAACGGTGTGCAGAGTCAAAACCCTCAAAGTACACCCTGTAGCGAGTAAAACTCTAACACAGAAAATACCTCCCCAAAACGCCTCGTTGGAGATACGTCACTGCCCATTTGATTCTTCCGGGTACGGCATGATGTCAACCCGTACCCGGAACGAAATGGACCAATCCGTGGAGGCGTTACGTTACGTCCGCGGAGCCGTTACGTTAAGCCCCCGCTGATTGGTCCAAATTGACCAATCCACGGACTTCCTCACACACACATCTGTGTGCAGGGAGCAGGCAGCTCTGCTGATTTCTCCTCCCTGGCTGCAGGCTGATAACAGACAGTTGGGATCGCGGCGAAATTCTTTCTGCAGACCCATTCTCACAGCGTTTATCAACCTTTTTCTTACTCAATATCAAACCACACTTATTGTTTTTACTTCGGCTGTGAGTTTGTGTGTGCTCAGGATGAGTTTGGCTGTGTTTCGCTATGTATCCTAAACAAGGAAACAACACCTCCACGGAGCTCAGCGCGATTCACAACGTCCCGACCAATCAGAGCACACTGTGCTCACAGGGAGGGTGGGGGCTGGAGCTATTGGAGCTACAACGAGCCGTTAAAGGCAGAGAGTGAAATTCAGTGAATACAAGTAGTTTACAGAGATGCTGTATGCGAAACCAATGTGAGTTTGGAAAAATGCACAGTATAAATCTATTTTAGTATACCTCAACAATGGAATTATGATCAGTGGAAATGGCCATGACACCTCTCCTTTAACATATTAACTTAAGTTTAGTATTAGTTTACTAAAAGTAAAGGGGCATTTTAGTTTTATCTTAGTCAAAGAAAGTCATGACATAGTTTGATATAGTTTTCCTCAATGAAAACTGTTGACATATTTTTTTTAAATGTAATATGGACTAAAATATGACTTTGTTTCTTGTTTTCATTGCCAGCTTTTACTTAAGTAAATTGATCTGTGGTGCTTGTCTAGTACTGATATAGTGCGGGAGGAACAGGCATGGATATATTTTGGGAACTCGATAAGGCTTAGCTTTGCTTTCAATTTGACCTAGTGGCCATTCTGGGCATTGCAGCAGGAAATCCCCCTGAGGCCAGAACATTATTTCCCCATAGATCACCATTGTAAAATGTCCTCTGTCAACATCTGTAAAACTGTTGACAGGACACCTCAAAAGGTCAATTATGACTCGTTGCATCATGATTTTCATCGATGGAGGTATTTTATTTGTAGAACTTTCCACAAGCTGAAAGGAGCAATTAAAAATGTGTGACATCATCACAATGTAAAGTCTACAGGCCAATAGGGAACTCAAAGTACTAAGAACACTACTGTGCATAATTAGTGGGCTGAATAAACAGGAAATAAATCAAGAAGCAAGGGTACTTTTTGGGCAAACACTAGTTATTTTCATTGGATTGAATATGCGTTTGGATATAATACCAAGTTCTTATAATAGATCCATTAGCAGAGTACAGAAAACTGCTGAATTCAAATAAATTAAACAGTCTACAATATATAAACTCCCCTTTTTTTGTCAACAAAAATGAAAAGAGATGTTGGTTATTTATGATTTATAAATTCATTTTAATTTTGTTTTTCTTCATCAACAATGACGATGGGGCCGTCTCATCAACTCGTATGAAATATGTATGTGAATTTCAGTCTTGGTATTATTTGATCTTAGTGCTGCATTTGACACTGTTGACCACAACACATGTGAATGCTACTCAAATGACATGGACAACTCATTCTTTCCATAAGTAGTAACATATCTGAGCACACAAATATGACATTTGGGGTTGCTCAAGGCTCCACCCTGGGGCCTCTTCGCTTTAACATACTTTATAAGCTTCCACTGGCTTAGATTATAAAACAAAACAAAAATAAGTTACCATAAATATGCAGACCTTAGATATATTATCACCTAAGAATACAGGATTAAAGGACTTGTTTCTCAGCAGGATTTGGAAAACATAATGGTGCATTTATCTTTAGTAGAGATCGTCTTACTTAAAAATCCATCAGCAGACTTATTCATTAGCTGCTGTTCAAGTCCTTACTAAAACCAAGAAAGTGGATCATTCTATTTTAGATTGTTTTAATTTCTTGGCATTTGAATATATTTAAATGTAAATTCATAATGTGTATTTTTTGCATTTTATCTTAATGCTTTTAATGTATTTTGTAAACACTTTGAATTGCCCTGATTCTGAAATGTGCCTTACCTTACCTTTAATTGTTTCTATTTATATAATTATTTATTTATTTTAATCAATTTGTCAAGTGCTTTTGGGAAGTAGTTGCTCTTACCTGTATGTTTTCTTGTGTTACATGTGTTTCTTCCTTAAAGCTTCGATTTAAATAAGGAAGTAATACTTTGAAATCATGAGTTTAAAATATGACAGACAACATTTCATGACTAACCGCCTCACACAGATCCCTGGGACACTAAGATGAAAATGAACTAAGAGCAACACATATACCGCAACTTTCTTCACTAAAGCTATCAAATATTTCAACAAACAAAAATCATACCATCTGAATACTTTAACCCTCCTATTGTCTTCGTTTTCCCCCCCTTACTTTGGTGTTCGCGTCAAATTTGACCAGTCCTGTTTTAACTGCTATTACATTAACACAAAAACCATTAATCATCACCAAATTTCATTTAACACCCTTTCAAACTGTAAATATTGTATCAGACTACTGGTATACATGAAAAACTGCAGTAAATATACAAAGAATAGACACTGAACATGTATTGCGTGTGCCAGGTGTGATCCATGTGGGGGGATGGGCACATAAGAGCGGGAAATGTGTCAAATTGTTCTGTGTGTGTGTGTGTGTGCCAGGTGTGATTCACATGGAGGGATGGGCACATAAGGGGGTGGGGGACACATCTAGAGTGTGTGTGTGTGTGTGTGTGTGTGTGTGTGTGTGTGTGTGTGTGTGTGTGTGTGTGTGTGTGTGTGTGTGTGTGTGTGTGTGTGTGTGTGTGTGTGTGTGTGTGTGTGTGTGTGTGTGTGTGTGTGTGTGTGGGGGGGGGGGGTGTTTGTGTGTGGGTTTTATCTGATCCGGATGGTTACTAATTCCTTTTCTTTATGGACCGGGAACACCATGGGTGTTACAAAGTTGACTAAATCATCCAAAATGCAATGAAAGTGGTGATCAGCCATTTTATATGTTCAAATGTCTACTGTGAAGGATATCATAAAGCCTTAATGCAATCGAATGTAAAACAAAAAAGTTATGATTGATGAAAGTAGTAAATCGGTCAGATTTGACCCGAAGACAACAGGAGGGTTAAATGGTGCTTTCACCACATAATATCCTACAAATAGTGGCACATATTATCTGCACGGACATGACAATTATTGTTTCGGTTTTGGATCAGCTTATCTTTTAATTATGTCTTTAAATACATCTCTTTGATTGTTTGTATATCTGTAAACAGAGCATTAATTATACATATGAGTAAGTGTATCACACAGGCCAACTTACCTTAAATGAACTATGCACTAGTGTTTCATCCAAATCAATGACCACACAGATCTTCCCTGCATCATTCGATTCCATCCGTGGGAGTAGCGGTTGTGCTGGAACCTGAAGACCAGAAGAAAGTTTAGACCTAATGCTCAATGCTTACCCTAAATAAAAATGTATTTTAACTTTCAACCCTAGAATACAAGGAGCAACATAAAAGTAGTGACATTAAATGTAAGACTTTACCATCCCAATTTCTCATGTAGAACTTACAGCTCAATGTGTGTTTCTTGTCACTTAAGAGACTGATTTGTGTTGTGGTGTTTGTGTGAGGGGTTACAGGAAACCTTGGATGCTACAGCTGCTGCCGCATTGATAGAGCATGTAAATATCATCACAGTGTGGCTCGTCCCTCAACATGTGGTCAGAGATCGGTGTTTGTTGATGCTAAAAACAAGCTGGCACAACTAAACAGGCTTCCTGTAACACTGATGCATGTGTTTGTCCTTGTAGAGTGAACGGCCAATTGAGGATAATGGAGTTTGACCCAGATACCACACACTTTGCTAAGCTAAGATCTCCTATAACTTCTTCCCTGCTACAGTTGGTATTACAGTCTTAATGATTCAAAAATAGACCTACATAATTAACAGACATATTTGGGATCACACAGCTCTCAGAACTCAACTTTATCCACTCCAACAATTCACAGCCTAGGTGCAAATAATTATTATACCTCCTCTATTGGTGGAATGCAGTGCTCGCATTCACAAGGCTCAGAGGATTCATCGTCACTCTGCTCCTCTTCTAAATCGGCGCTTTCTTCAGAGGCCTCATTTTCCTCAGTCCTTCTGACCTGTGTGTCGTCCTGTTTCACAACTCGTGAAACACTGTGAATGAGATCTAAAGTAGGTTGGATTACTCTTGAAATGTCACGGTATCCACAGTCATCACCTGATTCTGAGGATTGTTCATCTGATGTTTTTTCAACAACACAGCCGTTTTCTAAATCCTCCCTTAGTTCAATAACTTCAGTAATTACAAGTCCAGGGTTAACTCGTAACTCAGTCAAAAGAGCATCTCCTTCAATCCTTGAAGCATACCCAAGGATTTGATCGGACGATCTTCCGTCCATAATGAATCCATTTAGGGCTTGTTCAACAGATGTCTGTAGGCTATGAATCTGAAATGCGTAATAATCCTCAATACCAGACTCAAACATTTCTTCATTTTCCTCTTGATTTACAAGTGACCAATATGGTTCCATTTCTGAACATGCCATACATATTTCTTCAGGCTCTGTAACAATAGCTGTCTGTAAATGTCCAATGGTATAAAGACATTCCTTATTCTGAGCAACAGAGGCTTCATCTTCATAAGCATCACCTTCCACAGAGATGTCCTCTGAACATGGCGCACTCATATTATCCTCATTACCAGAGAACAGGCAGGCCTCAGTTTCATCATTATTATAGAGATCCTCATCACACTCTTCTTCCTCATTGTTCTCTGCGTAAAGATCGTCGGCTTCCAATTTATTTTCTTCATTTTCCTCCCCTGCTAAACTTGATTCTGATTCTACACTCCAGTATTCTTGTTGTTGCTCTGACCCTGAAGACACGTCATCTCTCTGACTTGCATCTTCCTCAGAACTATCTTCATATTCTTGCTCGTCAGAAGCATCAAAACACGTATCAGTTTCCTGGACATGAATATCCTCATTGATTTCATTAGATCTGTATTTCTTGTTGGCAAGTTTCTGTGCCTCGGATGTCGCCATGCTGTCGTGCATATCTCCGCCATCAAAGCACGAGATGTAACGTTGTTTTTTGGCGAACGCGTGTCCGTAATGGTCACCACTGTCAAATAGATTGAAGTATTCCTCAATAACAATATCAGCAGTGGGTGTTTTCTTAATATCTTCATTAATTTCATTCATATTTATCTGATCCATTTCTTCATCATCTTCAAAGGATTCCCACTGTGTTTGCTCATCACTTCCTTCGTCTTCATCGTTTCCATCGTCTTCCCGAGGTTCTTTTTCGGATTCCTCAGATAAATCGGAGCATTGATTTGACGGAATGCTGCAATCTGGACAAGTCTTAAAGGATTTGGTTTCAATAGAAGAGCAATCTGAAGAATCATCTTCGGTGCCAAACTGATCAGTACACTGCATTGAGGAAGCACATTGTTGATTTGTTTCAGAGTAATCCGTTTCACACATTTCAGAGTCATCTGTGGACATGTCTAGTGCCTGCAGACAGTTGTCTTCAGTTAGCTGTTGAACCGCACAACATTCGCTTGCAAAGCCAACATTTTCACAATCATCAAAATAAGTGTGAACTGGTGTGTCAATGTCAGAGGAATTTGAATCCTCTGATAATGTGGAGGACTCATCATCAATAGTCTCTGTTTCATATTGCTCGTCGTCTTCTTTAGGTGGACATCTCTCCTCATCTTCATCATTTGCGCATTCATTGTTCTCACAAAGTTCCGTGCCACAGTCCAATAAGTCTACGGAGTCAGAGATGTCGGGTGTCAAACCACCAGTCATTTCACATTTCTCAGAATCCTCTGCTGATGTGTCTGGCTCAGAGTCAAAGCACTCACTCTGCTGATCTGAGGGCTCGTATTGTTGAAGGAACTCCAGGTGGTCTGTGCATTCAGGTGTGAAATCAGACATTTCACACTGCTCCAAACTGTCACAGTTCACTGCCAATTTATCTGGCTCAAAATCAAAAGCCTCCAACTGTTGGTCAGAGGGTTTGCATTGCTGAAATAATTGGAGGTGTTCTGCACAGTGTTCACAGCAAGAAGTACACTTGGGAGCTAAGCTATGATTATCACAGTGCTCAGAGGACTTGAGAGGTTTAAAACACTCAAAGTCGTCAAATGATTGGCTTAACCCCGAAGTCTCACACTGATCAAGGACCTGGTGGGATTCAAAAAATCGGTCTGGGTATTGCTCAAATCCCTCAGAGTGTCCTTTGCAATAGGTTTCAGTCTCATCTCTGTCCATGTTGCAATGTTCTAAGCAAAGGATAGAAGGGTCAATTTCTTTGCTGATAACAGTCTGCTCAGTATATTCCACAAGGACCTCCATGCCAAGTTCAGCACTTCCCTTTGAGGGGCTGGTTAAATCTGCAGCCTCTGTTAATTTTGGAACCTGGCATTGTTCCGCAATCATGGCCCGAGTAGACGGCTCCCCCTCCCCGGGGACCTTACTTTGATCGGAGTTTTCCAAATACATCAGGAAATGATTTCTCAATCTGAATTGTGTTAGTCCAACGGTTTTACTCCATGCATTGGTTCCTGATCATGCCGAGTGTAAGTCCAAATGACTGGCAGGTAACTGGAGGGTCCATTCAGAGTGGATATTCACTGTGCTGGTGGGGGGAGTCACTGAGCCCTCAGCCCCCAGAGAGAGTAACAGCAACAGGAGCAGCATGCACGTTGATATGACTGCTTGTCACAACCAAAACTGAGCCTAGCACTTGACTCGACCCTCCCCTTTGCCAGAGACCAAGACATTTATTTTGGGGACTTGGAAAGACGTGACAAATAACTTCTGGAATATCAAATCTCTATAAAAGGCTGAACTAAGGCATTAATCTGACACCTGAAAATGCCTTGACCACTTGATCCTTAGACCATAACTGCCAAAAGTCATGCTGTTTTCCAAGAATATCTTCAGTAAAACCACAGGGAGTATTGTCAATTGTCCAAAAATGTAACGTAATGTGATAGTGGTCAATCCGGGATAGAGGCCCTCTAATCGTTTTAGCATATGTAAACATCTTAATGATTCACATGTGGCAAATTTAAACAAGTTTCAGTATGAAGATTATTTCATATTGATGATAATTGATAGTCTCCATAGTTAAACCAACATGAATCCAGGAGGTAAAGAGACTAAAACTGACACAAGCTCTTCATCACAACTGATGATAAGTGTAATCTGCCTTGCTTGTGACACATCTACAGTAGATGTTTCATTGCTCATTGCGATGCAGGGATCTTCCGGTCACATCTAATATTTACACTATTTCTTTCCGTCTTGTGTCGTCCAGTCATCTTGACAGATGTCTGAACATGGGGTGCTTTTCAACACTGCCACACTACTTACCTGCCAAGAAAAGATGCTCCCGTAAACAAGGAAAGCTTTGAGCCAAGAAAACATGTTTCATGCCAATCAAGCTGACCACATGCTGTTCAATAGCGTGAGAAAGTTGATATCAAGAGGAAGAAGGGGAGAAAGGAACTTACATTGTTTTGCAGTTCCACCTTTATTTGACAGAGGACAGTATAGAAAATGAGAGATAAGGGTTTGAAAGGTAACAAAAGTCTAGAAGAAATAAATGAATCTAAGCTAGAGTTAGAAGGAATCCAATTCCCCCCCGGAAAACTTACTTTTGACAGAGTCCCATTTTCTTCTACCAAGAGGGGGGCATTGTTTTTCAGTGGAGGTGGCTCAGATTCCTTGCGACATAGACAGCAGAAGAAACTGTTGAAAAGGCCTCTGCTGCGGGGCTTCTTTGAAGAGGAAGCTTCACTGGCACCTGGAACAAATTGACAGAGAAGAAACATAAGGAATGACGCTCATACTGACGTAGATGGATAAAGCCCACTTAGATGGAAGTAGAACCAGTCAAACTGCAACAGGTTATTTTGATTTAGATATTTTCAATAGAATTGTTCTTTATGCAGTTGTGATTCAGTTCCAGTGACATCTGGCCAGGACTCATTCCGGTTCATGATGTCAGTTTTTGGCAGTCATGCTGTTTCGGTATATCTGATCTGTGCATCGCTCTGCAGGGTCTGTCAGCAGGAACCCGTACTGTGCTCCGTCATGCTGTGTACGGCTGGACTATGGCTATTTCAGTTGTACAGCAAAAGGTTAAAAGACATTGCATAACAAAGTACAGGTGTACATTACATTCCCAAAAATAGTCAGCTGAAGACATCTTTGACAAGTTTTTGCTGTTCGAATACCAGGAATTTGTTCAAGGGGAGGAAATGCGGGTGGATAGATTTCACCTATTACCAAGAAACCAGTTCATTACCAACATTAAATACGTTTTCTAAAATATTTGGTTTAAATAGGAAAAAATAAGCATCGTGTACTCCTACCTTTTGGGAATTTCGTAGAACTCTAGAGGTTGTCAATAAGAATAGAGAAATAAACATAAATGTATGTTGGATGTTTTCTTCCCACTAGTTTAAAAGAATGTTAGGGAAGCATAAGAATCAAAGTGCACACTTTAAATAAATGACGCTAATATTAAACACATCTAAACATAGGCAACATTTGTTATAAATATTTCGTTTTTTTACTGTATTGCTGGCTAAGCACCTTTTTTGTGATCATTTTGCCAGTTAATGTCACAAAATGTTGTCTTCACTGGCATAGCAATACTGTTTTAAAGAGGAACAGCAGATGATGTTTTCTTCAGTGATACACGGACCACACATGTGATGTTAGAGTTCTATTGGGTTGCCTAAACACATGAAGACATTCTCTAAATGTGTCAAAACCGCTGAAAATATATTTTTTTCTCACATTATATTTAGTCTTTAAGCACAGCCAAATCTATATATTTTAGCAACAAAACAGTAGACCCATGAGCCTAAAGACTAATTATAGTATAGTAAAGTTGAGATATGTACACATATGAAAGACATTTAATACTAGAACCGCCAGAGATTTTTTTTATACCTAAAACCGCTACCTGGGTCAAATTGACCCGCTATTAGAATGCATTGATTTTCAAGGTAAAATTCTTTTATTGAACAGAGAGTTTTGATCGCACAGGGATGAAACGTATACCAATATAATCTGTGGACTCTCAGGGCTCGACATTATAAATGGCCCGCTGGCCCGGAAGCATTATTTAGACACCGCGGCCAGCATAACTACTTTCAACTTGCCCCACAGCTGTTTGCTGCGGAGCGCAGCGCGAGCAGTCTCCCGTGAGCGGGAGCACACTCCTTCACTACAGACTGTCTCTATCTCTCTCTCTCTCTCTCTCTATCTATAACTATCTATCAATATATCTATCCATCTATCTCTCTCTCTCTCAATCTATCTCTCAATCTATAAGGAGGAACCGCAGTAGACAAAAGGCGTTGCTATAGCAACACGTCATGTTTATATGAAAAGGGGTGGGGTCAATATGACCCGCTTGGCGGAAATAGGTATAAATGGCAATTTTTTTGGGTGATTTCTTCAATCTGACTTCATATTGACAATTTTTAACAACAGAGGGTGGTACATAACACACTTTCAGGAAAAGTCACGGACTGGGAGACTTTAATATTTTATTGAAAAAAAGTTACATCAAATATAAAACAGCTCGGGGTCAAATTGACCCCGTTGGCGGTTCTAGTGTTAATATAAACATGGTTATGGTTATTCAATTTTTTTTTAATCATGACTTTGAGAATTGATATAAGTGAGAAATGTTATGTGGTCTAATGTATTTGACTGAAAAGATATACAGTTACATGATATATATTATATAAAGTATGACTGTAGCAGTTTAATAGCATTTAAACCATAGACTGTATATATAAAACCAATGGGTAAAGTGTTGTGCTGTTTTTTTCTTATTATAAATTAAACTTTACGCATAAACATTTTAATAATCATGGATTAGACTTGAATTCTCCCCTTACTCAATTTTTTTACATTGTGCACTACAAACCGAATATATTAAAGTTTGAAATAAAAAAAGATGAATACTGGTGACAATGTGTTATGACTGTATTTGCATTAATCCACACTGACATCACAAACCGGTGTAACAACAGCTATCGTCTCACACATGTGGCGCATGTGCAAACACCTCATCAAGTGGTGTTAGAGTGATGAGAGAGTTTTCTAAAAAAGAAAATACTGACAAATTAGCTGAGAGTTGATGTGCAGTCGGAGCTGTCAGCTGAGGCATTAGCATGCCGCTCAGACAGAGTCTGTTGCTTCACTGTGAACCACAGAACGGACCCGTCAGCTTGCTGCAAATGTGTAATGATTGTGAAATAGCACAGATGGGCAATGGACTGCTTGTGTTTCTGAAAAACCTTTTCTAATGTGGTGATATTGGAAAACAGGAAGCATTCAAATTGTTAATAAATTCCACTCTGAGATATGACCAGTGATGGAACGGTGCCTTCTGTGGCTATTAGTCCTGACGGCAGGAAATACTAGTTGTGGTGTTGTCATTGTCTACATTGTCGCTGTATTGTATAATTATTTGTTTGTTTTACTTTCCTTTTTATGGTTTTTTTTCATGGCTCTGTTGTTTAAGTTATCTTGATAAGCATTTTTTGGTTTTGCTGTGTGGGCATGTGCGGGTGGAGGGAGGGAGGGGGTAGTGTAGTGAGTGTACTGTGATATTACAATGTCAATGAAATGGCATCGATTATTGTACACTATAATGAAATAAAAAGACTTTATGGGTCTGTTGAGCAATGTTATGTTAATTTAATTGAGCAATTCTGGCTTTTTTTTTACCTGAACATACACCTTACAGTATTATATACATTATAAAAAAGCTAATAATAATAATTCAGGTTACAGGTGGCAAATTCACCTGAATACATAAAACATGGACAAAATGACTCAAAAGTCATTGAACAGTGTAAGAATCACACAAGAGAAAATGGCACAGCTACTTATAAACACAAAAACTGCTTTTAGAATAACCTTTGTAATCTTTGGATTCCAGCTGTATCCACAAACAGCTGACCGACTTTGAAGACCTTTCTTTTTGATTGAAAAGTTTGTTCACAACATGAATGTATTATCTTTAGTTTATCGTCTTTTGGGATAACGAAAACACTTCTCTTAAGTGGCTAAATAATAAATGTATGATATCAAATCAAATCAAATCAAATCAGGTTTTATTTATAAAGCACATTTAAAAGCGATTTTTGGTCGAGCCAAAGTGCTGTACATGTAATAAAAACACATTACTACAATCACAATAATCGACAATAAATTACAACAGATATATCTTAAAAACAAAATAAAAATAAAACACAGGGAAAAGTCAGGAGTCATGCTCCGCTCTAACTAGAGGGCCAGAGAGAAGAAGTGTGTTTTTAGTGTAGATTTAAAAAACCCTATGGTCTGGGCCAACCTCACATGGAGGGGCAGAGTGTTCCAGAGCCTAGGGCCAGCTGCTGCGAAGGCTCGGTGCCCTCTGGTTTTTAGCCTGGTCTTGGGCACTACCAGCAGCAGCTGGTCAGCAGACCTTAAAGCTCTGGCTGGGGTATAGCGCTGGAGCAGTTCAGCTATATAGGCCGGAGCCAGCCCATTTAGTGCTTTAAAAACAAATAAAAGGATTTTAAAATCAATTCTGAACCGAACTGGAAGCCAGTGCAGTGAGGCCAGAATAGGGTAAATAAATAAATACTACTTAATTTAGCAACTCCGGCTTTTTTATACCAACATATAACTAATATTTTCTAAATAATGAACCTCATACTAATTAAGGTAACAGGTTTACAACACACCTAAAGAATTGCATGAAAATACTATGGACAAAACGACACAAAAGAAAATGGCAATGCTAATTATAGATACTACGGAATATGACTAACGCCACATGTGAATCAGTTTCTGAGATCTGGGCAAAAGTGTGTTTCATTTTAGGTCAGAATTTTGAGAAGAAAGTCAGGGCTGACTTTAAACTCAGAATACTCACTTTTTCCTTCTTTTGACGTTAATCTCAGAACTAAAAAAAGGTACTTTTGGGCAGATCTAAACAATTATTAACATGTGGCCCTATTCCTCTTCTGTAAAATACAAAGGAAGCTTTTATAGTAACCTTTGTATCCTTTCTATTCTAGCTTCACTCAAGAAAGCATTGACATTGTTAATCAATTCTGGCAATCAAATATATTATTCTCATTATAACAACCATAACCCATAACAGTAAGAGTCAAATAACACATGACATATGGAATAAATAACTCAATGGTCATTATACATTGACCAAAATCACACGAAAGAATATGGCACAGCTAAAAGAATCCTACTTTATGACCTTGCCTTTCAGGCTAACAAGTGTGACCTACTTTCAAGAGTTTTTTGCAATGACTTTGGCCTGTTGACTGCTTCATTCATCGGTGCTGAAAGTGGATGCAGCCCCTGTAATGCTGTCAGTAAGGGCTGGACATGCTTGTTGAGAAATGCCTATCTTAGTCCCAAGAGTAAAGGTTTGTGTGTTAACATGTGTGAAGGAACTGGGCAGGTGAAGCTTGTAGTGTTAAAAAACATCACGCTGCTCTGAGCATTAGCTCTTCTGATATTACACATCGCAGCGCCTGAAATAGCCCGGCAGATAACCCGCTGACAGCGGTTAATGACAATATTTTATGTGTACGTATATACTGCCGCATACTCACAGCAGGCAACAAACTGTATGTGTACACTGCAAAGAAAAAAGAACTAAATTAAAGGGCTGTCACTGTATACTATTCCTAAAGACCACAGCGCGCATGAATAGTGTCACAGACAGCACATGGCTCCATCATACGTAAAAACCACAAGTCATTT